TACAACATCTGAATAAGACAACTTGGGTTCGCGAAACAGCATCTCATTATTTTATATTGAGAGTTTTGATACAAATAGTATAGTTATTAAAGCTACGTCTTAATCATATGCATGTGATTGTTTTGCGCACATGGTGATATATGTTTTTGCGTATTCGTATTGCACCTGTAAGAAGCATGTGACAGAACAAGTAATATAATGGTAAAATTTATTTCGTCTTAACACGAACGATATATCAGCGATTTTATTAAATATTTTGAGTCTTTCCTATCGATATTTTTTCTTGAATAGCTTTATCCAAATTTTAAATAAGAGTAATAGATTTTGATTAATTATACGAAAAACACTATATATTCGTATAGAACATCTGAAGAAAAGAATTTCTATGATCAAAAGATTATATCTGTATTATTTTTCAAATAATTATTATATGAATATTACAATTAATTAAAAATTATTGTTTTCATTCTAGTGTAATTTTTGAATAGCAATATAGAAAAATAAATAACAAAATATAAACAAGAGTAAAAGTATTCAATACACTAATATATTTAAACTTGGAAAAAATACACCAGCGATTGATGAAAAGAAAACGGAATAAAATATTTCGAAAACAATGCGTAAGAAAGGAAGTGTGCATCCTGAAGAAAGATGTTTAAATAATATGACAAATCATAGGAAAAAAAATGTGCTGTTAATGAATATGATGACCCATATCAGAGATCATGTTAGAATGTCGATATAAGTGACAAGGATGCCTGATTTTTGAAATCGCAACACAAGAAAAATTTTAAGCAAATACATGAGCACAATGTAACCTCTAGGACGCCATCAGTTTTGTTGACACTGAATAAACAAATACGACAAAAATTAAAACAATGAATACAAAATAAAAATAAGAAAAAACTTGACAAGTTAATAAATGAGAAAAAAATCAACAAATAATACTATCAACTATTACAGGAGATACAACAAATGCTATAGATAAAACAAATGCTAAACTAACATTTGTTTAATTGTAAGTATTATCCGAATTCATCAAAGTTCACCATAACCCCGAAATCAATCAATGTAGTTGATATAATTGCAAACACTGAATACATAATGATTTAAGCAGCATCAATAATGGAAAGTCTAGGTATTTAGGGGATCAATGTGTTCATGAGATGATGGAAAGTATCTTTAGAAAAAAGGAAAACTTAAATACGAATGAGCGAAAACAAAGAAAAGAATTGAAAAACATGTACAGTAGTATACAATCATAATATCTGAAGACAAAGGAGAAAAACTAAACAACAATGATGCTTATGAAGAAGTAAAAGGACCAACAAACATGATCTATACTAAAATAACAACGCTTAACAATAGATTACTTTAAGCGAACCGAATTAATCAGAACACGAAAAATGAATTTTCATCAATCGATGATCTTCCAAGAATAAAAGGATAACCTAAAGTACGTAAACAATATCATCCAATACGATTAACTTCTGTATAAGCTATACAATTCTCTCATCTACAACAAATGTTGGAGATCTTAATAAAATTAAAAGTAAAATTAGATTTATTTATGAATATGAACGAAATGATACCATTAACATTCTTGATACGACATTGAAAAAAAAACAATGCTAATAGGATACGTATCGAATGATATAGAAAACACGAAGTATTTAATAGGTTATTGAATTATTATTCAAATCAGGAACAATCTATTAAAATTGATATTAGTAAAAGCATGGTATCCTTAAATAATTGAGAGAACAAATAAAAAAATTAGCCAACAAGATAATTTGAATAAATACAAAACAATTCTAATAAAGTTGAATTACTCAACACATGTGATTGATGAATATATTTTTTAAGAAGCCATAAATTTTATTGAAACTACAACATATACAATGAAAAAGAAAAGAAAAATGATAAAATAAATGAAACAAAATACCAAATTACAGTGGCATTTGTACATGGAATAGAAGTACTAAAACAGAAATTGGAACAATCAGAAATTAAAATATCTTTCTCCTAGCCTGATAAGCTTCAAACAGCACTTACCAATCTAAGTGAAGAAAAATCTAGATCATATATTTATCAAGTAGTGTGCAGTGAGAAGCAATTTATAAAGAAAAAAAAAACTTGATTTAAATAAACGAATAACTATAAAGAACAACATTAAATCAAAGTCGAAGATTGCACAAACCCATCAAGATAATGCATATCGATGCACACGTGATTTGGATGAAGCATGGCTAATTGACCATGAGATTGGTTGAGAAAAACGACGAATCAAAGAATCAATTTATTTCACCATTACCAAGCCGATAAATCGTCATGAAAGTATTGATGCAAAATGACTCTCTCAACTCTATGAGATATCTATAATAATAAAAAGAAACATACAAATGAATGGGAACAGGAATTTATTCATCGTGGAAATGCAATATCTTGATATTTGAATGAAGAAAGAAAACAAATAATTCATATCTCCTACCACTCTCACCATCCTGCCGTTTGACTATCATATGATTAATATAAAAAAAAAGAAAAAGAAATTTAAATAGAAAAATCTATACACTCCTATACAACATCTGAAGAAGACAATTTCATATGTCAGAACGTTACATCAGTATTCTATTGAAATCATTTGTTTTTATTTAATTTTAATTGTTGAATAAAAATATCCAAAATATAAATATATACATAGATAGAAGACTAAAAACATGCAGTATATAAAGGTAAAATTTGCATTAAAAAAAAACAACATATGTTTTGACATCATCCTCATGATTATTTTGCGCACATCGTGATACACATTTTCTATATTAGTATCGTATAGCTGTATAATTTCCAATTCAGAAAAAACAAGTTACATATTAATATTATTCTGATCATTTGTTGTGATACGGTTGAATGCATAAAGTAATACATATTTTTCAACGTACATATAAATAACATAGTGCTTTAGTTTGAAGCACACAACAACGCTGACACATTACAGTGATATTATCGTCCTGCTCAGTCAAGATACTCTACCAATTCAACGAGCAGATATATGTATTTACGAAACTGTAGTCTCTTAGGAAGATCTATTTAGTAACAAGTATAGAGAAGATTTTTCTGTCCTCAAGTAGTGGCAATAAGAATGTATAGTGTTATTTTTCTACCAGGACAGTTAACTTACTTTTGGTCAATACAAATTTAGAGAAATGAAGCTTTTGGATTCAAATAGGAAGACTATATAGTATAAGGGTTTTGAGATTTATATTCATTTTTGTAATATCAGGAACCGAAGAAGCAAAATTGAAGCAGCTAATCGTATACATGTACGTGGTTACGTGGAGAGTGACGAACTGGTCAAGAGTATTTATATTTTTTTTAGAATTAGTTTTTAAAGCGAAAATTATGGCTTTTTCGATGACCTACTTGTTATGAAAAAAAATACAATTAACGATAACTGAAAAATTGTCAGTTGATTTTCTTTCCTTTGGATTTCAAAACTGCGTGTTACAGATTTAGCATCAAAACTAAATCTATGAAAGTCATTTACAAAAGGCTTGCGTAGATTTTGTTTTGACATCAAATCTGAAACAACCAGTTTTGAAAGGTAGAAGACAGAATTGACCTTTTTTTTAATAATCAGTAGATTGCCATTTAACGAAAAATGATTTCTTTCCTTAAGAATCAATTTGAGAAAAGAAACATATTCTTAATCAACTCATCACTCTTCACCTAATCAGATAATAAAGATACACCGAATTCTGCTTTAACTTTGCTTTTTCAGCAGTTTATATAAATAAACCATTCCGAATACCTCGTATTGCACCATCCAAAAACAGAGGGTACACCAATATCATATATATAAATTATGCTAAATACCCCAGCATCTATTATACCCATTCAAAAAGCAGAAAATGCTGATCGGTTTACAATTACGTATCTTTACTGAATCCCAAAAAATTCTGAAAAGATTCCAATTGAAAGAAACTTAAATGTCTTTATCATGAATATTTAAATTCGTGTTGAACTTAAATTGTAAGAAACTAAACTTCTTTCAACTCTAGATCAAATTCACGTAAATATAAAATAATTTAATTAGGTTTGAAAAAGATATAAATGTGTCAGGATTGATTTCCTTCGGTTCAAATACAATATAAACGAAATTAAATCAGATTTAAACCTATTTAAACTCGTCTGAATCAATTTAAATTCTATCTAGATGTATTTAAATTCATTTAAATTGATATAAATGGTTTCACTAGGATTCAAGTATATTTCAATTAGGTTGAAATCCATTTATATTGAACTTAGATGCATTTAAATTTAGAGCAAACTCATTTAAATTCCGATTTAAAAGGATTCAAATAGGTGCATATGAAATATAAATGGATTAAAATTGATTTAAATCCGATTTAATAGCATCTCGATTGCTTAAAACACACAATATATATCGGATTTAAATGCACTTAAAAATGATTTTCATGGAATGTAAATTCATTTAAATGAATTGGAATCCATTTGTATTCCTTTTGATTCAACTTACATATATACAGAGGTTTAAATCCTACTTGAGTGCCTTTCTATTGCATTTAAACCGTGAAGAGTGGTGTCTTATATTCCCATCAACACCCACACCCGTAAAAGCTTCTATATTTTTGTTATGTTTCAAAGAGAATCCTGTGTTTTAGAAAAATTGATCCTATACAAAATCCTATATTTTCAAAATCTTCTGATTGCAGGTTAGTACTAAACAGACGTTAAGGAAATATTTATTCAATACACTCATGTATGATTACAAGTATTCTAGTCAAGACACATGATCATATTTGACACACTTGAAGTACCTTAATGAGTATGAAACTTCTAGAAATGAGTCAACACATTTATGCTTGATTGAGTTTGTATATGTATAAGCCACAGAAGGAGAGAAAGCTGGTTTTTTTCTCATGTTATTCATTTACCTTTCATAATACATTTCCTTTTTTTTTCTTCATTTGTATATCATGAATTCAAATAACGACGATTTGGTAGTAAAGAAAAACAATAATAATATTATTCTTTCATCAAAAGGTTTAACTATTCTACAAACATGCGTTTCTGGTATGGTTATGGGTTTTATTGCTTACAGTGGATCCTTTTCGGCAGTACCAATATTTTTTACAGTAACTGCTCTGATGTTCGGTACAAAATCATTGATTACAATAATGGCAACAGCTTTTGGTCAATTAGCTGCTGGTTATCTTCATACACATTCTTCACGAACTGGTATGGCTATAAGTACGAAGTTATTTCATGGATTTTATATAGCAAAACCAGAAATGAGAAACCGACGACAACATGATGAAACAAGATGGAATAGTTTAAAACGTTTTTTTCTATTAGCTCCAATGAATGCTCTTGTACTTAATTTCATGTGGGAGACATTCACTTTTTATTATCTTATTCAGAGTGATTTGTTCATCCGATATGTCGAAAGTTCTACTTCAAACACAATAGAAAATGAGAAAAGAAATGAAACGATTGCTTCATCCACAACCAAAGAAATTGAACCACATCTTCTACTTATACATGGAATAACACGTTATCTAGCAGGTTGTTTATCTGGAATGAGTACTGGAATGATAAACCAGCTATGGCAACGACATCTCGCACAAAGAAAAACACCATATGCTGTATTTAATAAAGACAAAAATAAACTGAAATTAAGATGGGATGAAAGAAAAAAACTACTATCTCCATTAAATATTGAAAATTGGATTAAAGCCTCAACAATGACTTTAGGAGCATTATTCTTTATTGCTAGCAATGTACCGAATAGAACTGGATTTCATTTGTTAGATATACATCGAAAGAAGATAATTACCGATATTCTTGTTATTCATGGTGGATGGCTTTTCATTCGAGATTGTGAAATGCTTCTTTTGAAAAATGCTGAGAAAGGTCCTCAAATTTCACCAACAGTGGCACAAGTCGCATTGCTTGGTGAAGAAAAGAAACCATTAGAAGATGAGCAATCAAAAATGCTATCACCCATTGCTTAAACGCATTAGACTTTAAATGTCTTAATTGGCAGTAAAAACTGATTATTATTGTATATAGAATATAATCATATATCATTGAAAAATCTGTAAATCTATTTAACCAAGCTCAGTTTTATAGTTTAAAAAAAATTATACATTCAATTATATGTACTTTATATATGCTTAACGTGAAATAAATAGATAACATAGTATCTTATTCAACTAATTGAAAAACAAATGAGTCCTTCCATTGATTAAGGACTATTATTGATCTCTATCTTATTGCATTGTTATTGATTCATTGCAACATTTTCCTAATGCTCATTGACTAACACAAGATTTTTAAAAAATTGATTTTTTTTATTTGCAAGAGTGTACGTTGAAATGTAAGTCTCGCCGTTGATTTTTCAATAAAGTTCTCGAAAATTTCATTTTGTCGACCGAGCTTAAATCTTAATTCTGTAAGATATGATTGGATATGTCTTCATACCTTATTTTCGACGGTAATAACTGTAGCTCTCTATCTTATTTCTATCAATAACAAAATTCTATTGTCTTCTATTACGAACCGATTAGTAACAATTTGATTCATTTTGGTAGGTTTTTTTGACACAATTGACTCTTATGTTACCTCTTTATTGAAATCATGGATAATCCACATCATATGAAGAAATTGATTAAAAGTAAAAAAAAAAGATTTCAAAAACAATTTTTTCTATTATTAAATTTAATAATCATGAAAAAAAAAGACTTCATTGATTTTATGTTCATAATATTTTCATGGTAAAAATTAGAAAGAAAACGATATTGTAAAAGTTTTATTATATTACTATATTGAATCATTGTCATTTAGTAAGTACTGTGTTATAGTTGTCTCGCTGATCTATTTCAACATATCATAGAAATATTGAATTGAAATGATCGTTCGATAATACTATTTTAATCAATGAAAATGCAAAGGATACAGTACATTTTCAGTTAACATATTCAGGGTTTACTCTTTTGTATGTGGTTGTTAATGAAGATTGTCAATGACAAAGCCAATTCATATTTATCTTCTTATAACAAAGAAAAACTTAGGTCATACAGTTTTATTTCTTTGCTGTTCTCGTTTGTAACACATATAATCGTTTACACGAGTTTGTTTAAAACTACTATGTATGTTCCTTAGTAGATAGGAATCAAAAAGAAGAATAACGTATAAGTCTTTGATCAAGTCCAGCATATTTTATTTATAAATTTCGGGATTTTTAAAACTGGTGAAGAGCTAGATGTTATTTCTCATTGATTATTCTACTTTTACAGTTACTAAAGAAAATCAATTGAATCTTTTAATGTTCCTATAGATTGTGTAATATTTTCTTTAGAATTTTATGGGTTTTATTGTTATCAGAAACGAATTTATGTTTCTGATTTGGATGAGATGAATCTGCAATGATAACGGATGGGGGAAACGAGGAGTTAAATGCTGATGAAGGTAGATCAATTAGACTGCTCAAATTCATTTGACTTGGATGTGTTTTATCAAATATATAATATTCATCTATTTTTGATTGAGTAGTAACAGTTGTATTATTACTTGCAGTTAGATTTCGACTATTACATATAGATATTAATAATCTCGAACTGTTTGTCGCTGTATAATTATCATTGAGGAATAGATTATTAGCATTATTAGCTTGAATAAGACCTTGAGTATACCTTCCAAAATACAATATTGAAGATTCCATTCCAATATCACAAATAACTGGTACTAATTGAACTGGATTTGGTAAAATGGTGATAAGACCTTGTTCTTGTCCGATGCCTTCATTACAATTGATAAAAAGATTTTCAGCAAGCGTTACATTTCGACTTGCAGGACCTTCATGCCAATATAATGATAGTTGAAAAAAACGGCAGCTCCACTTGTTCGATTAAAAACTGATTATCTTATATCAATATTTCTTGTTTCTAACAAAACATCACGAGCTCGGTTATTTTCCACAGTAAAGTTTCGTATAGTAACTAACGGTGTATCAGCTACACAAGTAAAATCACTAGTACTGGCGTTGATTGAACTAGTAAAGATAAATAATCGTGAAGTGGCAGTATATATCGTCAATATTGAGTGAATCAGTTCAATCAAATGCTTGGATAATTAAAGCAGTCGAGTTAATTACTTCGGCGATCATTACATAAAGTGTAAGAATATTTAATCCATCATCGCCTTGTCTTTGAATTTACTATTTGATAAAGAAACATATCCTCTAGTACTAATAAAATGCATACAATCGGAATTCGCACTCAGCCAACGTTCATCATATGGTGCAATATAATAATCAAAAATCGTCAAACGTTTTATTCTATTAGTAACTAAAGCCATACCGCAAGATGAATGAATATATCAATTGATTGTATGATGAAATCTGTCGAATCAATAACAACAATACCATGAATGAAAATAGAATAAACGGTAACAAGATCATCTCCGACAGTAAATTCTGTTTGTGATGCCAAAGGTATACGAAGAATATCAGTAGAAAACGAGACTAGTATTGACTTTTGTTGGTGGAATTTGATAAAAATTATATGTTTTTGAACTGAAAATTTCAACATCTAGATCAGTGTCAGTTACATTAACAACATAACCAGTTGTAAATGATAATGGATCGAAATCAATCGATAATGAAGTGATTTTTGATCCATTTGAAATACTGAGCATAGAATATAGACATTATTGATGTACCTATTAATAATGTTTGATCTATTCCTTATTCTGTTATTATTAAATTAGTTGCATTAGATATAACAATTTTTGATGATAAATTCGATGTACCAAATCCAAAGGCAATAGTAACATTTAATCCATAGCTAATGGCTTCATAAATAACTAATTGAATTTCGCTTGAATCATCAATATTATCTTTTGGATATGCATCAAACATTGAAATATAAAATACTTTTTCTGTGACTGATAAACATGTAATACACATTATAATCAAGCGAAGCCAACCGCATACAAATTTCATTTCTATTAATAAATTATTTCGCAAGTTTTGCTACACAGTGAGAGTTTCGTTTCTTTATATATATATATCATCATCTATTGACACTTTAAAAGATAAAAACAACACTGATGCAATACTAACATTAAAAAAAACACTCATGTAATGAAAGAAAGCTGTATTAAATGTCTCATTCTTTCAGGCTCTATATGTTTTCATGCTACGTGTTTTAGTCGGAGAAAGTTGATGCTCACTATTCCGTCCGTTTTTCGTTTTTAAAGTAATCGTTGATTCGATTTAAATCATCAAAACATAGTGTGTTTGTGATTGTGTTTGTTTGTTCCATCCGAATCCACACCCAAATTATTGTACTTTTTATTTCTATATATCGATGTTATGGTTACTTTTTTTTTATTTTAAGAAAATACATGAATTAAGGATAGGAAAAATAAAATGAGTATTAAAGCGATGTTAAATATAGGATAAATATGGAAATAAAGATAGATAATGTATATTTAATAGTAATAGCTATATTTGTTATTGTTTCCCAAACATTATCAGTTCCAAAAAATTGAATAGCTGATTGTTTACTTTTAATTGTTGTACCAGAAAAAAATCAATTTTGGTGATAACATATATGTTATGGCTAAGCTTCAACCACAATTGCTTTCTTTGTCGGTCATTGATGCTGCATCTACATTTTTATTATTTCAATTTTAATATTCAGACTGAAAAAAAAACTTTAACTGTTGTTGTATACGATTGTTCATAAATAGTTTGATCGTATAAAGAGTTTTTTTTATTACTTTTTGTTAACCAATACAAACTTGAGAATAAACCTTGATGAAAATCGATCAATATTGGTATGAGAAGCATAAATGATAACGATACATAGATTCATACTCTACATTATTTAGGATTATGTATGAGTCTCATTTTATTTAAAGAATGGAAAGAATTGAAAATATTTTTTATTTAGAGTAACAATTATTCTCGGAGAAACATGACGATATCGCAAGTATCTATCAAAATCATTTTATCATTTGATTCGTTTTTCAAAAATGAAAACAGAATATTTGTTTGATTCTATTATTATTGTCTTAATCTTAATTTACAATTTACACAATCGAAATAATCAAATTTTTCAGTTCTCAAATAATAAGAAGAATCAAAAAGTATTCAAAAATCCTTGAATACTTAACAATCAGAAACAGGGATAAAAAATAATATCAAAAAATTCCTTATCAAACATAAAGAAAGTTAGTAGCCAAGTCAAATACTCCTTGCTTGTATTCGCTCTTCAAACGATGATGATTCTTGAATTTATTGCGCTTGACACAGAATTCAATTCTGCATCGAATGCTACTATTTACGTATACTGATACTAATTAACAAAAGATTGATCCGAATTCAAAAAAAAACAACAAATTATTTAACTAAAGAACACGATTAAAAATATTCTAATAAAGAGGTTTCTCAGGTGATTAGTCAGAAGTTTTTAAAATTATATACGTATGTTTTCTACCGATGTGTAAAATTCATTAGATTGACAACAACTTAATATCTATAAACTAATATGCAAGTACAGATACGGTAACAAAATACTGTTAACTCTTCATTCATGTCAACTCTCGTCAAGACGAAACTGAAAATTCACTATTTCAGCCAACATGTTTCTGTTGTTTAACTGATGATGCGTCTTAAAAAAAAAGTAAGTATAATCTGATTTGGAATTGAATTTACTACTGATTTTCAGCATGATAATATCCATCAATTTGTATAAACGTTTAGAATTTTCAGAAGATTTAGCGAATAAATATAGCAGAGAACGAGTAAAAATCCTATTTTAGTATTTTTGATGTATTGTTTCAATCAATGATAATTTATGATCCGCAGTTCGATAACAGACAAAGTTAAAATCTAGAAGAACAAACTTATCTTTTTCAAAAAAAGTATGCTTATTATCAAAGAAAGTTGAATGATAGTAACTAATTGATGGCGTGATATACAGATGGTCTTCACGTCCTGTACGTGGTATTTTCATATAAGTAAATTTGGAGTTAATCAATGAATATTGTTTAGCAAAATGTCGCGCAATGGGAATGAGTTACGCAGAATCCATAGCTACCACCTTTATTTATGAAATAGAATAATTAAATATTAAAAATGAAAAAAGAAGACTAGATACCATGTAATAATAAAACAGGTAATTTAGTCTTTTTGGTTGGATATACTAATATTTGAGTTTGTTGAATTCGACAATAAATATCAGACATAACATGTGTTGATGTAAATGTATCATTAATGATCTTTTGAAATATTCATCTGTTGAATTTATTTCTTAAAAATTTAAAGAAGAATCATGATTCAGATAAATTATTATTAAATTCAACTAGTAATGTATATTCTGATACTTCATCTTCAACTGATGGTTGTGTGGCATTTAGAAAATGTTTTAAAACATTTTGATCATCTGAATTACATCGATTGATTCAATAGATTAATGCAGGAAAAAGTTGCATCATATTTAGATAAAATATATATGATATCTAAATAATTTTTTTTATTTCTTTTTTTTGTTTTACTTTTTTAGCAATATCTTCTGTTGTTATTTTTAATAAAAAAAAAAGACAAGATGAATTTGTTTGAAAATCTGCATTCATTTTATATGTATAAAGTGCGCGCCTTGGATGATTATCTTCAAAATATTGTGCACAACCATAGTCATCTTGTGAACAACGTGTAAATAAATCCAAAAAAATATAATTTAAATATTTATCACGATGAATTAATCGTGTTATATCAGTTAGTAAAATTGAATCAAGTATCACTTCATCAACTTGTTCATTATCTTCCGTTATATGAATATATCTTTGTAATAGATAAGTACTTTGACTTGATCCCTTTAATATAACACATTGATTTGAATTTAAATATTGACGATTATTATCAATAATTACTTTAAGAATATATTCTAAATCAAATGCTGTATTTGTAAATATCTTTTGTTTTAAACGATATTCATTTTCTCTAATATATGGTAAACAAGCTGTAAAATTTTTAATTATTGATGTTGGACACTTCTAATAGACTACTTTTACCAACACCTTGTTTATCTGTAACATATACTGATATTGAACCATTTAATGCACTAACAACACGAACAGTCTCAAATTCTAGCGTTGACACAGGAATACCACCACCACCTATCACATTAAATCATGTTATTTATTATGATATATGTTATTAAAAATACCTGGTATTCTCCATAAATGATGAGACATATTTTCATACCCTAATAGAGAATAACGTTTAACAAATATTTCAATAGTTTGTGTGCATGTTGTTAAATTAGTTTTATTCCAATTACTAGGAACATTTAAATACATACATTGTGCATAAACATTATTTACTGTTACAATCTAGAAAACAAAAATTGAAATATGTTATATTAGAGTAGACTAAATGAAATACTCCATCAGAAAGAACAGAACAATTTGATCAATTTGAATCGACTATTAGCCATGAATTTAAACGAATACAACTTTGACCATTGACAGTACTTCAAAATATTTTAAGTAAACGTATAATTATCGATATAAAGCATTTCATAATATGCCAACGCATTGTTATTAACTGATTAGATTTTGTGTGATTCTCTTCTTATATATTTCTTCTTTTTATTAAATATGTACAAGAATCTTTTGTTTGTCAAAAAATTTCTGTGTTACTACGAATAAGTGATAGAAACAAAATCCTTCTTTAAATATTATTTTTGACGCATATTTTGTTAAGAAATGATAACATTGAGGTTAACATAATATGCAGAGTTAACAGTACTTTTTTTTACAAGTTTAAATCAAATACGTTTATCATCAATTTTTTCTTTTATATTATTCTTTTTGCGCAACAGTAGAATTCGAAACATTTTTCGATAAATTTTGATCATATTTCCTGGATACTTTCCCAATCAACGTTCTTATTGCTAATACAAGCAATCAATAAAACGAAAAGAATTTCACAATTAATGTGAACATTATTTCATAGAAATATTTTTATGAACTAAATCTTATCAAAATATAATTGTTACTATTTTGTTTTCCTAACTAGCATTATGAACATTTTAATTGAGGTCGTCAGATATGCAAAATCAGTTTGAAAAAGACACATACTATTTAATATAAATATAATCCAATCGTAAATTTTAGATGAAAATCAGATATCAATAATATTTTAGTAGTGTGATCGCTGGTTTATCTATGTTCTATGACATTATCTTAATAGATAGTCATTCATTAAGAAGAATCTTCATATTCATAGGATTACTTCACTCGTCGTAGTTTGCTCAGCAAACAAATAAATAGATAAAGAACTAAGAATATAGAAATTAAACTTGAATAATCAGCCGATGTCACTGATCAATATAATGAAAATTCATTTCTTATAAGATCTTAACAAAATGATTTAATTGAATAGTCAATATCGCCAACAAGGATGTAGGTGTGGATGTTAGAGTTTTCTTCTCTCACACGCACATATTTACAGCGTCACTCATACACAGAACGAAAGCCCTCTCCGATTGCATAGTAAGAAGCTTCTTGTGGCGTAATAAGGTCTGCATCAGAATCAAAGAATAGCTATTAGATGTATATAAGCAGTCCTCAGTGACATGTTTTTTTCCTGAAACATAAAGGTGTCGCCAATTTATAACCTAGTCATACAAACGATCGTGAAGGCTAGATGCTATCTCGCAAAATAATATTGCATTACTCAATGAGCCAATCATTAGAAACACAACGTTGATTCGAAAGATTCTGGAAAACTCATTGTGATTCACAGCCGCTGACATCGAAATCAATAATGTACAAGCTAGGAACCCTGTTGTTCATCAAAAAAAGCAGAACAAGGAAAGATTACAGCCATGCAAACAAGGACGTTCTGACCACCGAAAGACATGATACATGCAAGGACAGACGATTGTTCGCCACAACTCCTTCGGTTTCGTCACTGAGAAATCATCAAAGTCATGCCTACTTAACGCTTTCAGAGATATGCAAATCACTAAGCAGTTTTAAGGACCCAATCTGGAAGCCACAGGACCTATCTCCAGACGACCCATCATATAGGCTCAAAAGAGTGACTAGAGCCACTTCATCACAATCCATCAAGATATATGAGCGCTACCACAGAAAGATTTTTTTTTTACATAGGAGGATCATCACTAATTATAACCCGAAGATAGACTAGACCTACCCTATCTTAACCTAGATGAGTAATGCAGACCAACTATAGATAGCCCACGAACAGTTTTGGGACCTACCATTATATAGTAGGTGATGAATTATTGGTACCCCTACGTTAGCCCATGAAGAGCACAGAAGAAACGCTTACACTCCTATAAGCAGCTCATGAGTGTGAGCTGTACATACCTAGCCCCATATTGCACTATTAGCATCCCAGTTAATACTACTCATCGTAATGCACGATCTGGACATTGATCGAATATGAACATCGATTATCATCCGAATTATCATACTTTTTCTATTGTTCTCAATTATTATGTCTTTAAATAAATTGCACACTTAGGGAGATGCAAGGTTGCAGTAAAGAAAACGAAACAATAATGATATTATGAAATGTCTTTGTTGTGAAAATTCTCAGAATATCAAGAAATTGAACTTATTGATAATATCCAAAGACAAAAAAAAAGTATCTTGAATACGCACAATTTGAATAACATGAAAATTACAATCATCAACGGCCTATCTAATTAAATCATAGTAAAAACTATAGACTCATTAACGATGGGCGCAGATGTGCTCTTCTATACTCGGAATATTTTTAAATAGTTAATCATAACGAATTCGTTTCTTTTCCCAAACAATGGCTTTGAGTGTCTGCAAAAGTGAAACACTCAATATGAGACAAACGAGAGAGTACTGAGAATTATCCTGTTGTGTTTTAAAGTACAATCCAATAATTGGACTCCTTTATCTCCGATTTGATTGTAGCGTAATTTCAATGTGATGAGCGCCTACAAAAATTAAAAGCTACAAATATAAAAGGGTTAAGAAACAATATCGATTCACCATGTTTTGCTTTAATGCATCAGCTAAATATTGTGCTCCTTGATCTTGAATTCGATTCCAAGACAGGTCTGCAGTGATGAGTGTCTACAAAGTGGAAAACGGCAAATATAGGATAGATAAGAAAGTCATGATTATCACCGACTTATGTAGTAAAGCATCAGCAAAATATTGTGCCCCTTGATCTCCGATTTGATTGCTTTCAAGGGCGAGTGCAGTGAGTGTCTGTCGAATGTTAGAGAAAAATTTGAAGATGAAATCGATAGACACTGAACCATAACTACCTTATTATGTTTTAATGAGTCAGCTAAATGTTGTGCCCCTTGACTTAAAATTCGATTCCATGAAATTTCTAGTGTAGTCAGCGTCTGCATAAGAAAAAGTTAAATATATAATATGAATCGAGACAGAATGAGAATCACCGTATTATATCCTAATGCTTCAGCTAAATATTCTGCGCCTTGATCTCCGATTTCATTGTGACTGAGAGTCACTGTAGTGAATGTCTGAGAAAATAAAAATATGCATATGAGAGAGATAAGAAAAGAACGAGGATAACCGTATTATATCGTAGTGTATCAGCTAAGTATTGTACTCCTCGATTTCCGATTTCATTGCTGACAAGAATTATTGTCGTTAGTGTCTGCAAAAAAAAGGGAAAGATGAATGTAAGACGAATAAGAAAAGAAGAATAGTTACCATGTTAGATCGTAATGCATCAGCTAAATGCTTTGCTCCTTGATCCTGAAGGTGACTTCAAGTCAATTCTAGTGCAGTCGGTGTCTAAAATTATCGTCAAAAATCAGAAAATACTATCTAGTACAGCCGATATGTGTGTTCAATTTTTTTCTATTTTGTTACAATATTATTTACACTATCTCGTTCGTCAAACATGTTTTTCTGATGTTTCTCAGAAAACAAAATGAATAACCAGTGTCAAGTAAATGCGATAGTTTACTGTTCAAAATGCATTAGCCAGAACAGTTCATGACAAAACGAACTATGCTAGATTTCGAAGAAAGACGACTCATTGAACAAATCGATTTTAATGACACAATAAAAAAAGCGTTGTTTTATTCAACGGAATTTTATTCATACCTCTATGAAATGCTTTGGGTGCAAAACTAGACGGCAAGTACTATCGATTGATGTTACTTGACATGTGTTCGTACTCGATACAGTAGTCTTTCATGTTATTGACTTCGTATACAGTCGTGTTAAGCGAGATCCTAAGACATAGCCGCAAGTGACAACCCAAGATTTTTCATAAAGCCAAAACGATGTTTGAAACGGAACAAGCAACGATTCGAGACTTGTAATATCACTGTTTTTTTCATAAGCATAGGAGAGATAAATATGAAATTGATTCAATAGAGATAAGCTGGTGCGAATAAATTGTTCCGAATGAAATCCATCGAAAATCTTATCGCAAAATGTTTTTCTAATCGAAACCAATTTTAAATGGATAAGCGATGGCGTTCGTGAAAGCAGCACTTCCAGGTCATTTATGGGCAAACTACATTTCGCAATAGTTAGAAATTTTAATTGTTGATAGAATTCGTCTTTTGCAGATGATGAAACTTTTTCTATTCTGTCACTCATTAGGCAATCTTTCATAACGAATATTTGTAAATAAGGTGAATGCTGAAGAATGACGTGGTAGTCTTGATAGGTAATTAGTCCTAGTGCTAGGTATTTTAATGAGCATGACAATGGCCATGATATGTGTTTAGTCATGTTATGGAATTGACTCAAGTGTAGTTCCTGCAGAGAAGGTTGAGCAAGGGCTGATGAGAAAAATTGTAATATTGTGTGATCACTATTGCGTGAAGTGTTCGAAAAATGCAACCACTGAAGTCGAGTAAAGTTATCAATGCCTGACGACTCAATGAACTTTGAAACTTGTTGAAGTTCCATATAATTGTCGGATGCAGTTAGCGATATGACGTCTCGAGGTCGAATGAGACGAGCAATAACTTCAAAATTGATTTTTGAATCAGTAGCGACGTTCAGGGTAAATCCATTATATGTAATGACATTTGCATAGACGTGTTTACAGACAAGACGAATTGAACAAACAATAGTTTGAACATCGCAATTGTCAAAAATACGACGCAAAAGTTCAGTTGGTAGTGAAAGAAGAGATGCATTTGTCATTGATGTGCTACTAGAATGAGTCGATCTATTTTTATTACACAACGAGCTTGATCGAGGTAAAAGAGGTATGTAATAAAATTGACTTGGGTGAATTTTTTCAGTTTGATCGAGGATAGAATTCATATGTGAACGTCAAGAAAAGTTTAACGTGCAGCTTTTACACAAATGAAGCTGTAGACATTATGTAGATGTGAGTGTTGCTGAGCGGCGGGATGAACGTGAAGTTTGGGTTCATTTAATTCCCTGTGTTCTCTTCACTGAACAACAACACCCTTGTCTGTCACCGTTTGCGATTAAAGAAAACACTAATAGTTTTTACTACCCTGATGTCACACGGTCATTCTCCTTCGCTCGTTTACCGAAAGCGTATTTTCGTTACTCCTTCTCATTTCTTTATCCAGCAGGACTCAGGTCATACTCTCAGAAAACGTCAAACGTTTTACAGATTTCACTTGCATCCCTACACATGTTGGTATTCTACGGGTGCGTCGATATTTTTGCATTCGTTAGCCATTTTTATTTCAAATCAGTTTATCGTGATAGGTCGAGTTTTTGACAAGCAATGCAACAAAGCATGTGAAATATTAGTAAAATCATGGGAGGGAGACGAATAAAAATACGACATAACTATGTGTATGATATATATGAAAGAATGAATCATCTTATTCGCTAACTAATACGTATAGATAAATTTGGTTGAGTCTCGCAAACTAGTCATCAACTTTGATTGTATATAAATCCTAATCGTTTCCGTATTATAGCATCATATGATCTGTATATACGTATCTCACTTTTTAAATACTAAGTTCTATTATTCAAATCATTTAAACAAATAACTTACCAAAATCTAATAAATTTAATCGAAGATTAATGAACCTTACGACTGGTGGTCGCAGTCGATTTTAGAGTATTATATGCGTGCTATACGGTTTCTCGTTTTTGTCAAATGATTTGTTTTGTTACTTTTGATAAACAGTGACGTACAATTTTCTTATCTACCTTTTTCTCTCTGTCTTTATATTACATGAATATCTTTCAACTCCCAAACATGTTAAGACCGATTGCGCTTATCACAAGTAAAGCATTTAAGCTGGTAGCTAGATCATGAGTGTATACTTTCAAGGAATAAATTCATAATAATGGAAGGCTCTTCATTTCAAGTGGAGTATAAAAAAGCAATATTTATTTCTGTATGATGTGAGCTGTAAGAGTGGTTGCAAAGTGTGGGTGTGCTTGTGAGTGTGGGGTGGACGTATGGGTGCTGATGTCGACATACTCTTCAACCAACACTAACACCCACATCCAATTTTGAGAATTATCCATTATTTTCTGAGAACCATTCTACAAGACATCTTTATTAATCCACCATTTTTATTTTTATTCTTTCATTTCATATTTCTGATTTTGTTCTGATTTTCCTCTTTTTCTCCTAATTTTAGTGCTTAAAAATTGTAATGCAGAGCCCTGCTGAATGTTTATATTTAAAAAAAAAGACACAAAATGTGTTGACGAAATGGACTCTGCATTGCTTTGAATTTATTTTTATTCTATTATTATTTGGTTGTTGACAAAGTCGATTGCTGAAAAGCAAAAGCTGGAAGCAGTCAATTGATTTGTATGATAATCACAGAGGTCAATCTGTTTTCAATTGATTCAAATATCATTGGTGGAATTCCAATTATTCAATAAGAGAGATTTCATGCATAAATAGTGTTAAAGGACAGAAATCTTACTCTATTGTATTGATTAGAAATCACCAGAGCAGCTATGATTCGATATGTATCGAATAAAAAAGTTTGCGAAACTTGTTGTAACCTTTCGGTTTCTCGATAAGGTCGTCGTCTCCATAAAGTAAATGAGGAATCCTTGTTAAGCGTTTAGTATTCAAGCAAAAAGAAAACTTATATGGATGACAAAGCAATTTAGCGAGAGAAAAAATGATATGATAAAAAGAATGAATTAATGGAAGTTTACAACAACTGATCTCGAATGTCTTTCAGCAGCTGTTGTAACTTTGTTTCGTCTCCTCCGAACAATTCTTTTATTCGTGTACAGGCTTTAATTGATAGGGTCTGCCAAAGAGTTTTATTCGAAACGCATCGTGTCTCGAGTATGACAACCACCAAAGCTGTTGTTGTTACGGAACGTTGATAATTCTTTTCGATGGAATCAATAGTCGACGACGAGAAGTCTATTAGAGATTTGCCTGTCAGTTGCTTGATGTCGCCGTCAGTCAGTATCCATAGTCCGTCATATTTTTGTAGTTCAATAAAGCGGGAAACTAATCCTTGTTTATCTGTTGGCCAATCATTATGCAATTGCTGTCTTAGTTGAGAATCGGTTGTCAATGATGTGTTTATTTGATCAGCACTGTTTTTGGTGAACAATGATGAGACATAGCCGACGGTAGATTGTAAAGCAGAGGTAAAACCTCCCATGACTGTACTCTTTCGTTTAATCTGCGTAGCACGACAGGAAAACTCATCATTAACGGACTGAAGGTAACAGGCCCGACTATCGAGCGATGAAAGTGTTGCGTCCCGCTCAAACACTTTGTCTACGTTGTTTCGCATGATAGCAACAACAGTATCAATATCAGTTTGTAATTGCTGCAAGTGTTGAGAGGATGTGTGTGATGGTGCATAAAATTGTCTTAGTGAGCTCGAACAGATCGGACTTAGTACGATTGGAACCTCCTGAAGTTTCATGTCAAAATTGCTGTCACTATTGACACCAAGTCGTCATTCGATACCAATAAAAGCTGTATACGGGCAAAGGATGCCATACTTGAGCGAAAGATCAACAATATGTTCTCTAGCTATTGGTTCGGAGGTATGCAGAAGTTCTCGAAGAAGAGTCTTCGCTGCCAGACGCACGAGAGTTTGTGAAGTAAGTGCTGATGGTACGTGGTCGACACGAGCTACACTGAGTGGTTGTTCATGCATATCTGCCAAGAGTTCGACAGTTGTCTCATGGTCAAATGGCATCGACTCATCAAGTATGGCATAGAAGAGCAGACGATCATGAATAAAAACGGGTGGAGCATGTTTGGGCACACTATGAAGGACCGATTGATTGGTTTTCCATTTAACATGGAGATTCTTGATGCTTGGTCGAAGGGCACGAGCGAGCTGCTCAGCTACATGAACATCAACATTTGTGTATGGAGGAATGAAGGTATAGTGACCATTGGTAACACGGGCTAGACCTTTGACGAGGGCTCGACTTGGCTACAATAGACGAAAAGAAATTTCATTAGTTGATCTAGAAACTATAAAATACTTGCCGAATGCCCAAGACCAAATGAAAAGATGCGTGTACACGCGGCCATATCACCACATAGATTGATCACTTGATCAACATTCGATACCTCTCCATCGGTCAACAAAAAAACCTGTCTGACAAAACCTACAGATGGATCGTTTTTCTTAAGCCACACTAGTGGTTCTAATAGCTCGGTACCCCCTAGATCAGCCTTCATAGATTGTATTAAGGCTTGTGCTTGACTCATATTCTTCTCGTTGTACTCTCGCGTTACTTGATCATTGAATAGTGGTGCAAAGTTAGATCCAAAACGAATAATATTAAAGCGACATTTGACTGGGAGACTTTTTAGAAAGAGAAGCATAGCTTTGCGTGCCAAACCAATTTTGTTATTATCTTCCATCGAACCACTGCAGTCAATCACAAAGAGAAACTCGTTCATCACATTGTTCGAAACGCGTTGACAGTCCTCTTCATTTGGCATGAATGAGACCATAAGAGCGCCTTTCTCAATGGCTGCAATTGTATTTGTTCGAGCTCGTGACAACTCAATATCGACGATTATATCACGACTAAAACATTAATTTAATATATGTAGGAAGCTGTTGTAAGCATGTGGATCAATGTGATGTCAAAAAGCAAAAAATATTCAGTTTCGTCGACTGGTCAAAGCCAACGAATCACTTACTCAAGCTGCGCTGTTTTTTGACTAAATGTCACAAGAAAAAAATCTTCATTGTTCAAATCGACCATGATTGGATGTGAAGGTGATGAGATACAGACGACATGCTGATCGAGTTTATCAACTTGACAAGTGAACTCGATCGTGTATGGAGCTGACTGAACATAGTTCGCTTGAGTTCTACAAGGTGATGTAATACCTGTTTCTGCTGGTGAGTAACGCGGTGCAATTGTTGTAGGAATAACGAAGCGAATCGTTGGTTTCTCATCAAAATGTAAAAGATCAAGTTCGCTTACATAACTAATTGTAATGCAACATTCGCTTCCTGGCTGTAACCTACAAAGAAAATAATATAAGAGAACTAAAATAGATAACATATTTAATAAATGAACAACATACGCTCCTACACTGACAACGAATATATCATTTGAAGCTTCATCTTGCTCGAATAGATATGCACCATGTCCTTGTGCGAGAGCTTCTGTGTATTCTTTCTGTGCTGTCTTCTTTTCCTTGAGTTCAGCAACAATCTCACGTTCATTGTCTATACGAGCAACAAATGCATAGACAGCTGCATTCTCTTCCACAGGAAAACTAGTAACATTGACAAAGGTCAAACAAAAATAAATAATCAATAGACGTTTTTTACCAGTATACAGCTTCGATTGGCACAGATTCATCATTTTGAAATACTTGCGTTAGTGTTACATCGGCAGCAAATGAACGAAGACGTGCGTTGACATGAATTTGTTTTAGAGGAACAGACTCTTTCAACGACACTGATCGCGTTGCTTGCTGTTTGATGAGAAGCATATTTCACTTTTTATATCGTATGTAATAAAAATGCAAAGAACAGGTAAATTTATTGAGCAGAAACAGAAAGTATGGGCAAATGAGTCATTTTGTCGGTGACGTGTCATAACGCAGCTTAGTCGTTACAAGATGGTGAAAGAATAAATTCTGAAGGCTCTTAAAATATTATTTTCTTTTACTTTTTTTGAAACCTATACAGAATTGCCATCGTGTGACACGACACACTTACATTTGGTGTTTTCCTTTTCTCTCTTTCTTCTGTTCTTCTACTGTGTATAGATGACGCATACGATATACGCATGTTTTCTTTTCTCTTGACGTAGTATAGATATTTTTTTATCTGATCAGGTTTGCTCCTAATCCGTTCATCTATACATTTACAATTGTGAACCACGATTTAACACCCTATAACGACAAGATTTTCGGCGCGTTTACATGCCCCTTTATTTTTTTCTCTATTTTCATGTCTTTTCTATTACAGTTTTCCATGCATATTTTATCTATGTGAGCGATTCATACAACATCAGTAATTGATACGCAGATAGATAGATCTGTCTCTTTATCTATTAACTTATCTGCAAGGCAATCTAACAATTAATCGACCTACCTGATTACATAACTACTCTATCATAGTTAAAAGATATGAAAATAACAAAAATATCTTGTTGCATTCCGGATACAAATATTTGATTTTGCCAAGTATACGTGTTGCATTTTTCTCCTTCTTTCTATTCTTTATTTTCACGAACATTAATAAAATAAAAAATTTAGTCACGTACGAGCACAATTATATGCTCGAGAAAAAGTTCTATATTTGGTAGTTGAAAAGGATAATAAATCAAAAGAGAAATCAACTATTGATATTGTAGAAAGAATGTTAGAGAACATAAAGTGACAGAGAAAGGCCCTGTAAATCAGTATTGACGTGCACCGGCCAACAGATTATAAAAGAAAAATTAGACTCCAAGACGAAAAACAATGATACTTTGCTTCTTTTTCATATCATTTATTGTTAGAGAAATATGAAGATCAATAACTAACATAGTAAAGAATTTCTATGCAGAGAATAGAACATCGCTTATTTTGCTTTTTATTTTCTATTAAATTTTTTTCAAAAGTAACTAAGCTCTTCAAGGGTAAGCAATTGATTTATATAGTTTGACTGAACTAAAACTGTCTGATTGTGTCAACATGAAGAAAAAACAGTTGTGTTATTATTTTGTAATAGAAAATTATAGTTGTGAACAGTGAGATATTCAGTTCAAATGCATAACTGATCCATGTATTCAACAAAATTAACTTGAATGCCCAATTTAAATCAGAATTTTATTTCTCTTTTATCGACATAGTTGAATCTCTTCAAGATGAATAATGATTCGGTACTTTATTGACGTTTAATATAAAAGAAAACAACGTTTTAAAACATCATACTTCAAAATATAGAATTGATCAATTTTCTAAGATGAACTTCAGTTATCTGATTTCAAGTTTATGCATAAGTACTAGCCGAAGTCAAAATGAACCTTTCAGTTATTTTAAGAATTTGCTTGCTCGTTCTACATAGACAGTTTTCTAGTCTGAGTTATTGAATTGCATGTTGTGAGACTTTTATGAGTGTATCTGTGTTCAACGTTCGTTTATTATGTACACCGAATGATAAATAGATTAAGAGTATTTATTGTTTGAGAATAAGAAAGCTCACGTAAAATGCTGACCGTATTTTGCCTTCTTAATATATGAATAAAGTTCATGAATGATGTTACTAATATTTTTTATCGATTTAAACATAATTAATAAAAACCACAGGTTTTCAATTAATAACAATGATAATCATGAGAAACCTTTTTTCGAAAAAGCAATAACCGAGAAGATGAAATAAAATATGATTACTCAATAAAAAAGCAGATGGAAAGGTTAGTCTCATATGGTGACATCTGTTCATGCTAAGATATTTCACACACATATTCATGCTATGATCAAAATGTGAATGAATAAGAGACAAGCATGAGAGGCAAATTGATTCAACGCTAAAGCAGATTCTAGTGCACGTATACATCTCTTGTTTAAATACCAAGCACGTCGCTCGTGTACACAGCTACGAGTAGCTGAGTGACATATACATATATATACATCACCATGCTCGCGTTTTGAATACTCAAGATTTACAAAACTCTTATTTTCACATTGAAACGCAATAAAAGTATTATTCCCTACGTACAAGCACTTGTCTCGAAACTGAAATCAATTGAAAACTGTATAAAAGCGCGAAGGGTTTGAAGTGTTCACAAATTAGCTTGATTAATATACTCATAATTATCTGTTTCTGATCAGTCAAAGGTTTTAATTGCTAAACAAAATAATATAAAAACATTAGCTCTCGAACACGTTCGTATTTATCTAGTTTTGCCCGCTAAAATGCTAAAACTTTTAATATAAATAAGAACAAAAATATGTATATGGAATAGGGGTCAAAGCATTTATTTTTCAAGCCATACCATGGTTATCAATAATTAAGATCCGATGAGAGTGAACACATCCGTAAAACTAATTTTTTAAACATTTACACACCTATATATATATTGGATATATATTTGATATAAATACTTTGTGAGTATAATTGTGAAAACTTTCCCAATTTACATCCACATTCTAAACAGGCTCGTGGTTGCAATTGAAATCTGAAGAACTTTCCTAATAACAGTCGCAAAATCAACAAGGTAAGATTCTAAAAAAATACTTGTCTGTCTATAACTATTCTAGTCTTATTCAGAAACAATTCGTGGCGGAGTAACCAATGTGTTTTTAGTATCTACTTTCAGCGATCACTCATCATCATATGACTCTGTAATCGATCTATGTTCGTCTTTTACGGGTGTGAATGTGAATTGTGCGAGATGAGATGATAGACACCTACATTCCATCCACTCATACCCAGCTACACATTTGATAAATTATTTTGAATTGCATAATTTGTAATAGGACTGTGAAATTTCTTATTTCAACATTATTGTTTTTCGTTTCTGTTTTCATTGTTACTTCTGTAAATGCAACACATGTAAATATTTCACTATATATAGATGTAATGCTCTGTTACTGACAGAGTCGGCAGCTGTCGATTCAACTACTTCATATAAAGAGTTTTATTGAAAATGAAAAGAAAAATTGAAAAAAAAGCACAAAAAATTATAAAACATTGAAAAAGTCCAAAAAAAACAAAATTTACCGTTGTTTCTTTTAATTATACTTCGAAATATTTGTAAACCTTTCTATGGTCTACAATCATGCCTTAGGATAAGGCATTTGGATTAAACTGCTTGCACGAACCGACCCTTTTTTTAATAGTTCTGTCAAGTTTTTATAGTTAATTTTTTGTTTCTTTTTCTGTTTAGACTTCTTTGCGAAACAAAACATGAAAAGAAAAGAAACGGACTATTAAGATGGATGTGGGTGTGCAGAAAAATTACATACAGTCACACTCATCATCCTCATTTCTTACACTTATGTAGCAATAAGATATCTTTTCGAACAGTATCTGTCAATTGAATATGTTCCTCACAAGACTAATGAAGCTATTAATATTCTGAAATCTTTTCTTCAATATCAAAACAAATTATGCGTCGACTGTCTAAACTAAATAACTCTGTAGAGTGAAAGTTTTTTAACGGTATCGATAGTGTTCACAATAAAGAATTTTTAATGTATAGACAAATAATTTCATTTTCTATGTTTTTTTATACGTTACCACAAGACTACAGATAGTTATGGATTAGAAAAATGTCTATCTCATGTTTTCTTTTCCTATTTTTTGCTGTGCTCAATTTGTGTTTCAGTGTACTGTTACTTTGTGAGACAAATATAAAGACATTTTTATTGTTGATGGAGAAAATTAGATATATCTTTATTTTGGTATTATAAAAATAAGGTGTTGTTTATTTAAAAAAAAAACAACAACAAATATGGAATTATGAGACGGAAATGAGTGCTCATAATACGAAATTCCAGATCATACAGCTGTAAAATAAATTTTCTTTGTTTTTTTTTATATATTTTATTCTTTTCTTTGATCTTTCAAACAAATAAATAAAAAAGTGAAATTTAAAATGGTAGCTGTAATTTTCATCTCAGTTATTTTTTCAAATATGTGTTATAATTGTCTCAATTTTTTTGTTTTTTAATTTTAAACCTAAATACATTAGATGCAATTGTTTCCTAATAATATTATAAAACGTGCATTAAACTCATTCGTTCTACTTTGTATAACATCCAAATATAGTTTTTCTGTAAATTTGACATTTTGACTAATGTGAAAGTCCTATAATGTCATAAACAATGAGTCCAATTTGGATCTCGGAGTGAAAAGAAAAATTAATTAACTTTGATACGGAATATAGATTACAACAATATAATAATACAGCTACCAAACAGTATGATAGACGTTTTATCTGGGCTTATAAAACTAATTAATGATGATACTTTCATTCAGTTTTTGTTTCGAGAATACTGTGTGAGCATGAATATAAAAAAATATTTGGTGTAGTCTATGATAGAATTGATTGATTTTTCAATTGAAACAAAAACAAACCTTGGAAACAATTTTTATTGGCTTTATGTGACACCGAATTATTATTTTAGCAGAAAGAAAAAAAACTCACTGAAATAAAAATTCATCATGCATTTTCAAACAAAAAAATGTGCAGTATTTCGTTTCTATGTACCAATGCATTTATGGTATATAAGGAGACGAAAAGAAAAGCATCAAGACATCATAAAAAGAAAATGAAATATGACACAATGTATGAAATTACGTTGCAATGAATTTGCTTTTCATTCGTTCGTTGTCTTGTAGGACCAGAAACGACAATAGGAAAAAAAAGGAACTCGAACAACAACAACAACAAATATTAAAAACAACTAGAAACATCTAGGCAAAATTCAAACATAATATATAAAATTGAATCATGTTTTTTTATTGATCAAATATAACACATACGATGGACAGAAATAAAAAGTCGACAATGACAACTACTGCTGCTGCTACACCAACTGAAAATCAAAGCACAAGGCTACGACAACCTTCTTATGGTCGTATGGTTCAGAACTTTTTGCTTGTCTGGCTAGATAGCGGCATCGATCTAGAAAACAACGATTGCAAGCATACTATTTCAAAATTAAAAGAAGTTGTCAACGAGGTCAAGACATTTACGGATGTCAATCAATGTATCAATTTTGTCAGTGACCTCAAAGAAGACAAAACGTTTATGATCACTTCCGATACATTGGGCCAAACCATGGTTCCCGCCGTACATGATATGCCGCAGGTCAGTACAATTTATATTTTTTGTGGGAAAAACGTTATGAATGAACAATGGACCCAACATTGGTCGAAAATAAAAGGAGCCTTTACAGATATTGCTTCTATATGTAAAGCTCTTCAACAAGCCACACAAGACTGTGATGAAAATATGATTTCTATCAGTTTTATCAGAACTAGTATTGGGAGTAGCAAGGTAAATCTTAATGAATTGGATTCTTCATTTATGTACATCCAAATAATAAAAGAAATTTTATTGACTTTTCCTTTCAAACAATATCATATCGATGAATTTATTATTTATTGTCGTCAATTATTCGCGGTAAATCCAAAAGAACTGCAAAATGTGGAGAAACTAGAACAAGAAACTCATAACTATCTTCCAATTTGGTGGTATACATACCCCTGCTTTCTTTATTCGATGTTGAATCGGTCATTACGAATGATGGAAGTTGATCTCATCATAAGAATGGGATTTTTCATCCAAGATCTGTACAACCATGTTGCCAAGCTCCATAAAAAACAATATGTCGAGCATTCTAATATGGAACCGTTTACTGTCTTTCGTGGTCAAGGAATGTCGAAGACCAACTTTGATCGGATGGTCAAAACACAAGGTGGACTTTTATCATTTAATAATTTTGTATCGACTAGTACGCAACGTCAAGTATCACTTAACTTTGCTCGTGAAACGATGGAATCTTCCGATCTTGTTGGTATTTTGTTCGTCATGAAAATTGATCCATCGATCGCATCAATACCATTTGCTGACGTCCGTGATGTCAGCTATTTCAAAGGAGAACAACGAATTCTCTTTTCCATGCATGCCATCTTTCGTATTGGACCAATGATACAAATCGATGGAAACAATCGTCTTTGGCAAGCTGATTTAACATTGACGGGTGATAACGATCCTGATCTACGAGCGCTTAATGAACAAACACGTAAAAACACTTATCCTCATCTCCAAGGATGGGATCGTTTGGGTAAAATACTGACCAAATTAGAACAGCTCAACAAAGCTCAAGATGTGTATGATATTTTGCTTGATCAAGCATCGACTGATCGTGAAAAATCATTAATTTATCATATGCTAGGAATGGTCAAACGCGGTCAAGGTAAATATGCAGATGCTGTTGCTTATTATCAACAATCCATTGAACTCAAACAGAAGACTCTTTCACCATCAGATCCTAATTTAGCTGCTTCTTACAACAATATTGGTTTGGTTTATGACAAAATGGGTGACTATTCAAATGCACTTTTATCTCATCAAAAAGCACTGGAAATCTGCCAAAAAGATCTTCCTTCCAATAATCCTAATTTGGTGACTATATACAACAACATTGGTTCTGTGTATAACAAAATAGGTGATTATCCGAATGCACTGTCATCTCAACAACAAGCATTAAAAATTCGTGAACAAACACTTCCTTCAAATCATCCTGATTTGGCTACTTCCTACAGCAACATTGGTTCTGTTTATCATAACATGGGTGACTACTCGAATGCACTTCCAATTCATCAAAAAGCATTGGAAATACGCCTAAAAATACTTCCTTCAAATCATCCTGATTTGGCTACTTCCTACAACAACATCGCTTCTGTGTACAACAAAATGGATGATTGTTCCAATGCACTTTCATCTCATCAAAAAGCCCTGGAGATTCGTCAAAAAATTCTTCCTGCAAATCATGCCGATTTGGCTACTTCGTACAACAACATTGGTTCGGCGCATGCCAGCATGGGTGACTATGCGAATGCACTCGTATGTCATCAAAAAGCACTGGAAATACGCCTAAAAATTCTTCCTTCCAATCATCCTCATTTGGCTCGATCTTATAACAACATTGCTTTTGTGTATAACAAGATGGGTGAGTATTCAAACGCACTATCATACTATAAAAAAGCATTTCAAATCTTAAAAAAAACTATTCCTGCCAAACATCCTCATTTGGCTCGATCTTACAATCATATTGGTTCAGTATATGATAACATGAATGACCATTCGAATGCACTATCACACTATAAAAAAGCACTCGAAATCTGGGAAAAAATGCTTCCATCAAATCATTCTCATTTAGCTCGAACTTACGACAACATTGGTTTGCTGTATGACAACATAGGTGACTATTCGAATGCGCTTTCATATCAACAAAAAGCAGTAGAAATTTATCAAAATATGCTTCCTGTAAATCATCCTGATCTGGCCACTTCCTACAACAATATTGGTTTGGTGTATGACAGCATGGGTGACTATGCGAATGCACTTTCATATCAACAAAAAGCTATGGAAATCTATCAGAATAGTCTTCCTTCAAATCATTCTCATTTGGCTGCTTCTTACAACAACATTGGTTTAGTGTACAATAGTATGGGTGATTACTCGAATGCACTTTCATATCAACAAAAAGCAATAGAAATTTACCAAAATGCTGTTCTTCTGGATCATCCTAATTTAGCTACTTCTTACAACAACATGGGTTTAACATATGATAATATGGGTGACTATGCGAATGCACTTTTATCTCATCAAAAAGCACTAGAAATCTACCAAAACGCTCTTCCTTCGAATCATTCTGATTTGGCTATTTCTCACAACAACATTGGTTCAGTGTATGACAACATGAATGATTATTCAAATGCGCTATCATTCTATAACAAAGCACTCGAAATCTGGCAAAAAACTCTTCCTTCAAATCATTCGCATTTAGCTCGGTCTTACAACAATATCGGTTCGGTGTATGACAATATGGGTGACTATTCGAATGCACTTTCGTCTCATCAAAAAGCACTCGAGATCTATCAAAAAACTCTTCCGTCGAACCACCCTGATTTGGCTACTTCTTTCAACAACATAGGCTCAGTGTATGAAAAAATGGGTGACTATTCGAAGGCACTTTCATACTATGAGAAAGATCTGGAAATCTGCGAAAAAACTCTTCCGTCAAATCATCCTGATTTTGCTCCTACGTACGGACATATTGGGATGATATGTTCTAAGACTAGAGAGCATTCGAAAGCTGTTTTATATTGTGAGCGGGCTCTTAAAATACTAGAAAACTCACTACCTGCAACTCATCCACATATTCAATTATATGGAAATAACCTTGAATATGTGAAAAACCAAATGTAATTGATTTTAGTTTTGTGCACAGAAGTAAATAGACTAAAGAGAAAAAAACATATTCATAGAAAGACAAATAAGTTTATCAATTAATTATTTAATGTAACAGAAAAAATAATAATAAATGATGACTTCAAATGATTTGAATCTGTTTATTGTATGTCGTTCATTAGAATAGTATTTGTTTGGGAAATAAAATAAGTTCGAACTCAAGAAATAATGTATCCATTCATTCAACAATGAACATCGATGAGAAAAGTATGTAGGTTGATGTACAATATATTCGAATAATTCTTCGACAGTATAAGTATAGGAAATATATGAGAGATCTTTAAAATTGATGAGAATCAACGTTTATGAAAAAAACTAAGTTTATTTACAATAAAACGACGAATTAACTAACTAGTTAATCTTATTAGAGTTCTATTCGTAATGAATTTCGCAAGAACTACTTCACAGTTTCATTCTAACTTCGATTTTCTGATTTACAGCAACAAAAAAAAGGAAATCCTAGCTTTAATATAGCGTAGTTATCTTTTGTAGATAATACAAATTTATGTATTAATTAACATTCGAAGCTTTGCATCACATTTCGCAGTCGAGTTGTAAAATAGTCGGAAATACTACTTTTATTCATTAAAAACAAGAACAAAACATTTTGATAATCAAATCTAGCTGAAATATTGATAAAAAAAACAAATATTGAATTTGTTTATTATTTTTTTTCTTCGTTTTTCTTTTCTCGTTTTTCTCGTATTTGAACTATTTCTTCTGCACTAGTTGGATGTATACCAATGGTATGATCAAATAATTCTTTTGTTGCTCCAGCACGTATTGCAACTGAACACATTTGAATAATTTCTGGTGCTGAATGATCCATTAAATGAATACCAACCACACGTTGTTGATCAGTTTTTTCAACAATTAATTTTACATATGATTTTCGATCACGTTTTGGTAATTGTACAAACATTGGTTTAAATGTTGATTCATACACATCATATCCATCAGGTCCATATTTTTCTTTTGCTTGTTGTTCAGTTAAACCACATGTACCAATAGCTGGTTCACTAAATACAGTTGTACCTACTGTACCATAATCAACTTTTCGTGGTTGTTCATTATTAAAAAGCATATTTGCTAAATAATGACCTTCTTGTATAGCTACAGGTGTTAAAGCTTTACGATCTGTACAATCACCAACCTATCATAACAATAAAAACTTTCATAAATAATCTGTTACAGAATATCAAAAATAAAAAATACCGCATAGATGTTTGAAATATTTGTTTGTGAATAATCATCAACTTCAATTACACCTTTTTGATTTATTTTAACACCAATTTTCTGTAAACCTATATTTTGTGTATTAGGTTGACGACCAATTGCAAACATAATAAGATTTGTATTTATTGTTGTTGTGTCATTCTTAAATGTAGCACGATATGAATCATCGGATAATTTTTCTACATGTTCAACTTCAGTTTCATATCGAATATGAATACCATTTTTTTTAAGTTCTTCAGTCAATTTTGCTTGAATATCTTCAATGGATAAAAACAAAAAACATATATATATATATATAATTCTTAACATTTTAATATTCTTGTAAGGTAAATTATTAGGTGTTCTCGTAATTTCTTTCTTCGGATATATATATAATTACTTGTACGATTATTGATGTGTCTGATATATCTACACACTAAGTTCCGAACTTCTCAAGAATTTGAAACTTATAGACTCAGAATATATGTCATAGAAATAAATAATTTAATTATATATTTTCAAACCTTCATCAAAAGATCTTAAAATTGTCTTTCCACGTAAAATTAATGTTACATCACAACCAAATCCATTAAAAATACAAGCAAATTCTGTTGCAATATAACCACCACCTAAATATTAAAATTTTCTAATTATTGTATTATAATAAAATAAACAAAAACAAAAAAACATCTTACCAACAATAATAATATTCTTAGGTAATTTTTCAAGAAAAAAAGCATCATCAGATGTAATTATATGTTCACGTCCTTCAATATTTGGTACTATCGGATGACCTAAAATCAATAAATTTTATATTATCAATTTAAAATAAAAAAAAGAAAAATCAAAACCTCCAACAGCAAGAAGTATATATTTTGATGTATATTCTTTATTATTAATAATAACAGTATGTTGATCTTTTAATGTTGCATGTCCTTTAATTATTTCAACATTATTATCTTTTTGAGTTTTTTCATATGCATTATTAAGACGTTGAATTTCAGCATTTTTATTTTCTATAAATTTTTTCCAATTATGATCATTAAAATTCATATCTAGTTTAGGCCATCCATAATTATATGCATCATGAAATAATTCACGATAATGTGATGCATAACAAAATAATTTTTTTGGTACACAACCAACATTAACACAAGTACCACCTAAATATTTAATATATTAAAAATAAATAAATAAATAATTTTAAATTGAATAAAATTTTTACCTAATTTTTTATCTTCAGCTAAAGCAACACGAGCACCATATTGAGCTGCTATACGACTGGAACGTACACCACCTGAACCACCTCCAATTACAAAATAATCATAATCATAATTTGAATCAATTTTTTCACTAGTTTTAGACATAACTGATCGAGAATAAAATCGAATTTGTAACGTAGTAAAAGAAATACGATATAATTTATAAGAATTATCAAAAGATTGACGCAGAAAAAATGCACGATAATAGTAGCTTAGCATATTAGAAAAATGACTCATCGAAGTTCTCTTTTTTTTCTTATGGATCTATTCGTTCTACTAAACTATCAATCAGCCAAACAATAGTTACATATATGAGCATCAAAAATTAAAATTTATGTTTGATAAATCGTTATTCGTCAATATATGAACCTATAGAAATTGATGAGTAAATATAATTCTAATTTTTTGAATGAGTCATTAGAAAAAATCTATACAATATTATTTAATTACAAATGCAAAAAAAACCTAGAGAGTTTCGAAAACGATATTCTGAATTTATTTTTCGTTTAATTTTCATAAGATTGATATTTCTACTTAGTTCTATTCGAGATTTAGAATATTTTTCTTGAGACTTTCGATATCAATCTATTGACTTGCATTCATCCATAAAAGCAGTTAGACAAAGATAATTCTGCATGTTAATATTGGTTTTTAAATTCAGAATGATCTGACTCTATTATTTCAGTATTCAAGTAACTGAATACATTATTGAAAGTTTGAATAAATTTTCCTACTAATAAAGAAAAACAACGACTAAAAATATATGAAATAAATAGAGGAAACACGAAGACACATCTGAATAACATTTCAAATAGAAAAAATTATTTATATAAATTCACAATATTAGTATATTTTCAATAGTCAAAAAGAAAAAAAAACCAAATTCATATTTTATACATTTCTTATAATTGATTTAATTAATTTTTATTCATTTATCATATTCAATAACAAAGCATGAATAACATAGAAATCTATCACCAATAAAAAAATATTAATTTTCTTATTATTTTCAGTGTAAGATTTCAATTAACAAATACAGATCAAAAGACAAAAAAAAATATATATATATTTAGACTTTTCTTTTTTTTTGCAAACAAAAAGAATTCAGATTATGCATGACGAAATAAACTGACATGAGAAAATGGTCCAGGAGATTTTGTTACAATATCAGGTGTTATTTGTTGTTTAGTAAAATGTGTTAAGACATTTTTTAATTCACCACAAGCAGCCTGTAATAAAAAACAAAAAAACAATAAATCATGAAAAATTTCGAAATTAATTCTATACCCAAATAAGTCCTAAATATGGAGCTGAAGGTTTTAATGGACGTGATATATATTCAGGATGATATTGAACAGCAACAAAATATGGATGATTATCAAGTTCAACGATTTCCATTCGTTGATTATCATCACTTCGTCCAACAAATTTCATTCCAGCTTGTTCATATTGTTCAATATATTGTGGATTAACTTCATATCGATGACGATGACGTTCATCAATTGAATCAACATTTCCATAGAGTTTTTCTATAGAATTATTCATGAATATGTATCATTTTCTTTTAAATATGTACAATAAATATACATACTAAGAACACTATCATCTGTTACAAAATAAGTTGTTCGACGTCCTAATCTCATTGTACCTTTCAAATTACAAAAGAATATTAATGATTCAACAAAAAAAAACATTTCTTTACCTCCCATAGTTCCTGGATTATGTTCAGGCATTTCAATAACCTATCATAAAAATAACAAAATATCTAAAAAAAAGAGAAAATAAAAAAAAACTTACGACTTGATGTTCAACTTTATCGAATTCTGCTGAATTAGCACGTTTATATTGTAAAACATGTCTTGCAAATTCAATAACAGCACATTGTAAACCAAGACAAATACCAAGAAATGGTTTAGATTTTGTTCGTGCCCATTCAATAGCAGCTATTTTACCTTCAACACCACGAGAACCAAACCCACCTGGTACAAGGACACCACTGAAATAAAATAATAAAAAAACAAAAACCACCAAAGTTATGAATACATTTTATATAATTATACTCATTCACTCTGCACTACAAAGTTGTTGCCATGCTTCATGATATTTCATTGGATCTTCTTTTTTTGTATTTGCTTCTAAATCTGATGCATGAACAAACTAGAAGTTAATATAAGAATATATTTCTAACATTGATAAATGTCAATATTCTTACTCGTATATTTAATTTTCGATTACAAAAAAGTGCAGCATGTTTAAGTGCTTTTAGTACAGATGCATAAGCATCTTCTAAAGCTGTATATTTTCCAACAAGGGCAATAACTACTTCGTCCAATTGTCGTTCACTTCTAATTAATGATAAATTAAAAAAAATATTATTAATGACAAAATTATATCTTTCTATTCAAGGTTGAACAACTGTTATATTCTATTTTCGGTTTATTTGTTACGCATCATAGAATATATGAGCTCGTCAATGTATAGACTGTTTCTTCCAATGCTATTCTTACTTTTTGAAGCAAAACGATAGATAATTAAGTGGTCTGTGTATACTTGTTTTAGTTTTTATTAATATTTATTTAAAATTTGACTTCATTTATATGCATTATGTTTCAAGAAAACGTTAATTTTAATTATGTTCCATACAATTATGGTCCACTCAATGAATATACTGTATTAAGTCCTTATCAAATTGGTAAACAAAATTTAACAGGAGGAAAAACTTCAATTATTGTTATTGGTGCTTTTGCAGCAGTTATACTTATTGGTATGGCTTTAGGATTAGGTCTTGGTATTGGTGCAGCAGGTCTTGTTAACAATGCACAATTAATTAATGTTACTAATACAACTAGTGGACGTTAGATTATTAATTAATTTCTATGTATATTTTTTTTTTATACTAAATTTCTATTTATATATTATATTATTTTATTTGAATTATCTTTTTTTAAGAAGATTTTACCTTTCAATTAAATCTCGCCATTTAATCATTAATGATTGATCATAATTAAATTTAAGTGTTAAATTAAGACGTATGGATAAAAAATTGAACATACCATTTTCTTCAAGTAATATAGGAACACGATAAAGTGTTTTTACATCGGGTATACAAATGACCTTTAATAAGAAGATAAAAGAAAAATATTAATAAAAAAAAAAAAAAAAAAGAATATTCAATATTTTTACATGTTCTTTTTCTACTTGACAAAACATAGCAACTTTTTCTTTTGATGATATTGTCATTGGTGTTGCTGATCGACAAATAATCTATAAATAAAGAAATAAAAATAATTAATTTTTATTTATACTAAAAAAGAGAATATTAATATTTTTACTAACAAGATCAGGTGATAAACCATAACCACGAAGTTCTTTTACACTATGTTGTGTTGGTTTTGTTTTATGTTCTTGTGTTGCATTTGGCTATAAAAAAAAATATATAAAAGAAACAAAAAAACCAATTTGATTCAATACAAACTTGTGGAACAAGACTGACATGAACAACACAAAAATTATCTCGTTTGACACGAAATTGAAATTGTCGAAAAGCTTCTACAAATGACATACTTTCAATATCACCTATAGTACCACCAAGCTATTATTAGAAAAAAGATATTTTTGAGATATGTAGAAAATTCTTCTTTTTTTACTTCAATAATACAAATATCCGGTTCAGTTTTATCATTATCAACAGATATACGTGCAACACGTTCAACCCATTCTTGAATAGCATCTGTTATATGTGGTACAACTATAAATCATAATGAAAAAACAAAATTAAATAAGAATAATTAAAAATATATTAATATATTTAACCTTGTACAGTTTTTCCAAGATAATCTCCACGACGTTCTTTATCAATAACATATTGATAAATTTTACCAGTTGTTATATTATTATCACGATGTAATGTAATATCAAGAAATCGTTCATAATTACCCAAATCCAAATCAACTTCACTTTAATTACAAAATAAGCGAAAAAAAATATTCGATGAAAAAGTTTAATCACTGATTAAGATTTTTCTTAAACTTTTCTTGTCTCTAGCTAAGCCTGACAATTATAACATGATTCATGTAAATCCATGAATGTTACATTCACGTCGTAGCCTGTAAGTGTGAATGTAACTGTACATAATACACGCTAAATCACATAACTCAATCATATATACCCACACTCCCAGTTAGATAAAATGCTCTTGTAAGACATAAACATGAGATTAAAATCGGATACAAAAAAATTCTGACTTATAATCAAGGACTTCTATTGTAACATTCAAACTTGCCAATATATAAGTTTATAAGAATTCTTCAAAGTAAATATTAATTATTTTAGTAAAATTTACTTACCCACCATCATCAAGTACAAATACTTCTCCATGTTCATATGGTGAAAATGTACCTGCATCAATATTAATATATGGATCAATCTAAAACAAACTCAAAAATTTCAATAATTACTAATTTATCATTTTCTTTTCTTTTTTTTTTTTGGTTCTTTTTGCTTTTAATTACTTTAATTGATGTTACACGAAATCCATATGAACGAAGTATTGTACCAATACTTGATGCAATAATACCTTTACCAATACCACTTATAACACCACCAGTTACTAAAATATATTTCATTAATATTAATAATCACGATGATCAATTATATTCTATAAAAAAAAAAATTAGGTATTATATTTTATCAATTTTTGAATAATAGAACTATATAGTTTTAATTAAAATATTAAATGATAAACAAAAATAAAATTATCAAAATATTAATTTCACATCTTGTATTGTCCTAATGAAGCCAAACCATTTTGCTATAAAAAAAAAACAGAAGTTAAAATCGTATTTCTATTTTAAAATATTCTGTTTACTTCAGTAAACGAATATATTCTTTTCGAGCTTGTTCATTATTTGTTTTATTTCCTTTCCAAACACTTAAAACAGATGTTTGAAGTGAATATCCATAACAAAACGATAATGTCCATGGCTTATATAACTCAATACGAGTAATAGTATTCAAATAAAGTATTGTATTTTCTTTATGATATTCATCTTAAACAAAAACAATAAAAAATTTCTATTTTATTATTTAATTTAATATTACCAACGAGAAATATTATGCCAGGTACAGCAGTTGGTACTGTACGACGAAGTGTAATTACTGTTGCTTCTGCTATTTGTTCAACTGAATAATTTTTTGAGCAATTTTTACCTAAATAAATTTCTTTTCAATGAAGAATATAAAAGAAAATTAATTATTATTTATTTTACCGGAAGAAACTATTTTCATTTGAAGAAGTGTACCTTCAAGATAAATATGATGCTCATTTAATGATTTATAAATAGTTGTTAAAATTTTTTCTGTTATATGTTGACATGTCTCGAGATCATGATCACCTTCTAATGATACTTCTATTTCAATAATTGGTACAAGATCACACTGAAAAAAAAAACAAGTCATAAAATTAAAATAGAACCGATTAGTTATATAATTTCTGTTTGAATATTAACTTGTTGACATATTGAAGCATATCGTGCAAGTTTTGAAGCATTATCATCAATAGCTAATTGTGATGGACAATGTGCATCTATTTTAAATAAAGTACGCCATCTAGTAAATTGTGCACCAATTTTTTTATATCCACGACAACGTTCTTCGAGATTATCTAAACCTAAATTTTAAATATAATATTCACATATATAATTATATTTATATTAACAAACCTTGTGTTATTGTTTCATTATTAGTACCAGCTAAAAGAATTAGTCCTCTATCAACTGTAATACCTGGTATAATACCAATTTGTGTTAATAAATACGGAAATAATGTATCATTATCATCAGTTTTATGAAAGAATGTTTCATTACAAAGTATAATTGCACTTATATATTGTGTACATTCTTGAGTTTGAAATAATAATTGATGATAATAACGACGATTTTCTTCATTATTTTCAATACCTATCGATGAAAAACGAGATTCCATAAATTCTTAAAAATAAAGAAAGAAATCTTATTTATTTTTGAAAAATAAACGTTTAAAATAGACCTGGCGATTCATCAGCTACTAAAATTCCTTTACCAGGCGTAACAATAGTTTGAGCTATTTGAGCTAATTCAACTTGTTTGTCTTTTGCTAAATAATAAGTAGCCATCATCAAAACAAAAAAAAATATCACCGTCTTCACAAAAAACAAAAAGTTTTATTTTTCTTTTGTGCTTCGAAAATATATTTTTTTTTTTTATGACATCGTACAACGAGTTATTTTATAGTGCATTGTGATCGTGATAAGAAAATGATTGAAATTTATATAGAGATGCCAAGAGAGAAAAATATTGTAATAAATATTAATAAATTGGTATGTACGCACCTTTAATTCATTTACTTGAAGACCTTGACAAAGTTTTATATTGCACTAACTTAAATATTACATTTCAAAATGAAAAATTTAGTATAATGTATGTTTTTTTATTTTTCATTAGATTTACAGAATGGTATCATTTCAATAAAAAAAAAACATGTTTATAACTGACTCATTGACCTTAAAAAATACAAGGTAAATTCTGTGCTTGTTAATCATTATGATTCATCAACTATAGGAATTTGTATACTGTTCTGTTTCAAAAAAAATGTATAACAAACTACCAAAATTATATCTTTGGCATACTTTTCGTCCAAAAATACCTTTTACGAAAAAGAATGAAAAGTATAAATATATTCGTCCTCAACAAACACTTTGACCTATATTCATGAAAAAGAAAGTTTTCATCAGAATATTTTATCAGTGTTCGGAATTCAGTTATGAATTCGACATGCGAACATTTCTTTGCATCATGATAATACTATCATAAATGATTAAATATAAGTTCAAAACTTACTTTAATGAAGATGTATCAATATTGATTATACTGTATTGTTTCAAATTATTATATTGTTAACAAAGTAGACGAGCATATTTCACGGATGATGAAGATCATCATTTTGTGTTCTCTAAAATTAATTTATTTTTTTTTATGATAAGAGTAATTGACAGAAGTCTGTTTTTACCGAATTTTCTATTATATATGCTAGACTTGTAAGATAGTGTCATAAATGTAACCAACTGAAGGAATAGCTCAATCGCTATTCTCGATAATGATTTTTATCGAACACATTTCATCATCTCAGTCCTATCTATATGAATGCAATCATACGCTTATCTACAATTACACAAGAGGAGAAAAAGAGAAATGCGTCTTGTCAAGGTCAACATTGTGAAGAAGAGCTCATATTGAAAAAGGAAATGAAGTGTAACGGTCAAAAAACGTTACAATCATGTCTATTACTTAAGTATACATTAGCTATCTATAAAAATATGAAACCTGTGATGTTTAACGCATTTATTGCAAACATGTGTAATGAGAACACGGCAAATATTGTGTCTTTCTATTTTTTGATTGGTGTCGAATATTTCTGTCATACTCATTCAATTACTTAATCCTCTGATAACGGACTTGTTAGTGCAGAGAAAAAAAAAGAAAATCGAAATTTGTTATCAAAATTATTCATTGACATTATTGTTAAATAAAGACTCGTGTTAAAAATACTACGAATGTATATTGAGAAAGTAAAAAACGTGACTTAGTATATCTACCAATTTGATCGATTATTTATATCTCAACACAACAAATTCGTAGGGACAATTATTAAAAAAACAAATGAGATAAAGTTATTAAATTGCACTTTTTATTCAGTCTAAAAATCTTCACTGATCTGTATTGAATGAAGAGAATTTCAATAGGAAGTTCTCAAAAAAAAAAGTACCTATTAACCTGAAGAAATTGTAAAATAATATACGATAGGTGTGAAGTACGATCGAAAATATACAATATATAATATTTGTTCGTTCTGTTCGAATTTCGAGCATTTGAAAACTGCATCCTATTGGATACTTATTTTCAATATTTCTGCAATCATTGAAGTTTTGAATAATCAACGAAATAAAATCTATAGAGATTATGATTATTCAAGTGGAAACAACATTAATTCAATAACAGTTTCGACTACTAAGTCTAATAATGATTAATTTAAAAAATAATTTCCACAATAGAAGAATAATAGTTCATCCTGAATTTAGATGTTAAGATTTCCGCAAGCATCTATTGGATAAAATCTTTTTTTATTTTGATCAATTTTCGATTCTCTTGATGTCCATCATTCACGTGGTTAAAATGATTCAACACTAAGTACTTGACATACAATTAAAAATTATATGTTTTCTAAGAAAAAGATTGTTCAATTAAAAGTTCATTTATTTAATAAAAAATGAAAAAATCATTAAGAATAATAAATATGAATATAATATCAATAGCACTCTCAATATATTTCTTATTTCTTGTCTTGATTTGGCAAAGGTAATCCAGCATTGAGTCTTGCTGCATCACCTAATACTGACCAATCCATATCTTTTAATCCATGTCCAATTGTTGAAACACATTGTTCTCTCATAATACTACAAAATGGAAGTGGAACACCAACTTGATCACCAGTAATTAACATTGCATTAATATCTTTTAAACCTCCTTCAATACTAAATCCTTCTCCTATTGGTTTTTCATAATTTCGATCTCGTACACGTGCTTCATAAGCTAATAAACTTGGATGTGAATAAAATGTACCAAGTACTTGATGAGTTGTATCAGAATCAATACCCCATCGTTCATTAAATGCATATATTTGACCAAATAGAGATATATTTGCAGCAAGTATCATATTTGCTGTTAATTTTATAACATTTGCTTGTGCTGGATTATTACCAACAATAGTTATTGAACCACCTGAATATGTTTCAATTACAGATCGAGCACGTTCAATTGCTTCATGATTACCAGCTAAGAAACTTTTTAATTTTCCAGCTGCGGCAACATCAGGACGACCAAAAACCTAATAGAAAAATTTAAGATTTAAAATATATTTTTATATTAAAAAATTCATACAGGTCCTGAAATATAATTAGCTTCATGTTGTTTATGTAATGTTTCAAGTTGAGTAGCAGTATTTGGACTGATTGTTGCAGTATTAACATGTACTGTATTTTTTTGAATTCCCATTAGATATCCATTTTCTCCTGAAAATTCAAATTCAATTTGTAATAGTTGTTAAAAAAAACTCAAGATAATAACCTTGAGCAGCATCTAAACATGATTTATCATCAAATAAACAACTAATAATAACATCAGCATTTGTAACTGCTTCACGAGGAGTTGTTGCTAAATGTGCACCAGCATTCACTAAATCCTATAAAGTAAAAAAACAAACATTTGTTTGTTTTTTCTTCATTTTCAATTTATTTACATTTGCTTTTGAAATTGTTCGATTCCAAACAACAAGTTGAAAACCTTTATTAAGAATATTTTTTGCCATTGCATTACCCATACTACCAAGACCAAGAAAACTAACTTTCAATCGTGATGAAGCCATTTTTTAATAATCTATTATATTATGCATAATACCAAACAATTAATTTATAATTAATAAATTGAATCGATTCAAGTTTCGAAAAGCAAATTTTAATTTAACAGTTTAGATATAGTTCATTTTTACACTTTTCTTTTTCTCATTTTATGAGAAACCTACTATGGGATTGGCCTCACTCATCAATCAAAAAAAAAATTTTTTTCCGAGCAACGCCGAAAATTTTTTGCGCGTTCTCTTATAGTAAAAAGGAATCTTTACATCCTCTACTCTTCTGATGTTGGCTGCCTGGAGCCTACTTATTAATAAAGTATGAAATACAATAGTGTCTGACAGCTGACGATGATTTTTTTATTAGATTTGTACAAAAAAAAAGAAAAAATGTGAATTTTTTTTTTTTTTTTTTTTTTAAACAAAAGTAAGTTATTACCTGATGAATTAATTTTCTTCAATTTTATTACTCTATTGGATATATTCGTGATCGAATTAGATATCATTTTTTGTTTTTGTTTTTTTTTTGTTAATTAAATAAATTTAATTTTTATTAAAGTCAATATAAATTGTTTAAATTAATAATTTATAAATCATTTATATGTAAAAAATACAAAGAAGGTGGCGCTAAATATTTTCTCATTATTATTTTTCTTGTTATCGTTTAGACCAAAGGAACTCACTAAGGAGGAAAAACATACATCATTTTTATCTTGTAGAAGAGTTTTTTTTTCTTCGTATCTTTTGATAAAGATTAAAAATACAAAAAAAAAACAATGGGTGCACAAATTAGCAAAATTGAAGATACTATTCATGATACATATAAAAAAACATGGCCACAAGCATGGTAATTATCAAAAATTCTCGTTTTTTTTTTCGATTTTCTGTTTATTTATCTATTCATATATTTAGGTATTTAGCACCATCATTTCTTACAGCACTTGGTGCTGTTGGTTATGTTGGTTATGCATTTGCACAAACAAGAGCTGTACCATCATCATCAAATATTTCATTTTTACATTTGATTGGTGTTGCTGGTAAAGAATTTTTTTTTTTGTTATTAAATTTCTCAATAATATCTTTTAGGTGGTTTTGGTATTAGTTTTTGGATAACTGCTGTACATGGTTAGATTTTAAATGAATTTTTTGCAATAAAAAAATTATAATATATAAAAAAAATCTAGGTCGTGCTGTTCAACGCATGTTAACTCGTCATGAATTTGCTACTGTTCAATCACATTTATCAACAGTCTATTTTGCTTCATCAACAGTTTTGGCTAGTCTTAGTTTAGGTACATTTTTACTTCGTCATCCATATAATACATGGTCAAAAGAAGCAACAAATTTAGTTTGTATTCAATAAAAAAAAAACAAAAAACAATGTTTTATTTATTTTTATTTTTAAATAGGGTGTTGCATTAATTATTGCATTAACTGCTGCTGAATTAAATAGCCTTGTACTTAATCCATTGGTTACTAATTTAATGTTTGATCGAAATAATATTGAATTTTTACAAGCTGCAAAAGTATATTTTTGATAATTTCAAATTTAATATATATTTTTTTAAAAATTTTATTTAGACAAATGAAGATTTTGAACGATTATCACGTGATGATCCAAAATATCGTATTGTTAATAATAAATTCAATTTATTTCATTCCATATCAATGGTGTCAGGTCTTGTTTATCATAGTGTCCAATGGTATCATCTCTTCTTTCTTGCTGACAAATGTTTAGTCCTTTAAAATAGATGAACAATCAAATATAAAAAACTTTTTCCTTTTCCCATTTTGTTGTAAACGTTTATATTGCTGTAGACGCTTTGCGTAATGATCTGTATCTTTTATCCTAGCTATACATTTTGTTATTCTCATATCACTAGTCATTATTTGTCTTAAATAGAAAGAAAAGCATTAGAAAATTCAATTATTGTTTGTTTACAAATGAATGAAGAATTAATTTCAATATTTTATCAATTTAACATCATTATATCAGAATCAGTCAGGCGTAAAATATGTGTTTTGCAAAAAAAAAGTTCATAATTCATTTGTAAAATTATTTTTTGTTTCAGTAACAGGAAAAAAAAGAGAAGAAATCATATCTAGTAGAAGATTTTCTTTGTCGAATCTATATTCATTTTTCAAACTCTTCGAGAAGATCATAAAAACATTGAGTTCGAATCAAAACTTTATATAATTTTGAAATATAGAATTTAACATTTTGTTTGGGATTTATAATTCAAACGTGTCTTTTACAGATATGAAAATTCAGTTTTGGACGAAGAAAATTGACACGTTTTTCAATAGCAATAAATACGAGATTGTTTTCTACAAAATGATATAAAAATTCAAACCTTCTATAGAACTCACAAAAAATTGAAACAGCATCTGTTTAAGAAGTTGAAAAATGAATGAGATAAATATAATAAAAAAACAAAAAAATCTGTTTTATTACACATAATATAAATAGGAGAATTTTTATGGATATGTACATTTTTATTTTAATTAGCTCATACATTCAGAAGATTTAATTTTAATAATATACGAAGCAAAGAATAGTATATGGTAGGTATGTAGTAGTTAATTATCATTTACTTATACAAATAAATGACAGCTTTAGAGAGTGAAATATTATTTTAAAAAATCATAACTGTTGGATGAATAAAATAAATTTAGTTTTTACAAAATGGATTATGTTCGTGTTAGAAATATTGGAGAAATTATTTTGTTTGCACTTGTTTTATTTATAAAAAAATCTAAAACTTAGTTTTGTATCTATTTTTTAATATTTGATTATAATCTTTAAGCAGAAAAACGATCAGGATTTTTATCAAGCAATGAAACTTTTTGTTTCTATAGAATAATTCATTTTCTATCAATTCCATTTATATGTTTTGAGACTGATTAACGTCTAATATTAATGATAGATTCCATTGCTTTATAAAAAAGTATATCATAAGTCTTGAGATTCAATAAAATCAATGAGTATGCTAGCAAGAACTAATCCCTAATCGAATGTATGTCAGTTAATCTTGAATACTCATGTCGCACTCTTTAAATGAAATATTCTTGAATGGTATTTTCTCTCACAACAATATAAATATGCACATAATAATGTGATGATAAAGTTTTAAAAATCTTCTAATTACATAGTAAGTATATTTCGTAATTACGAGACTAACAAAAAAATAAACACAAAAGAAAGAAGTTAAATGAAGAAAAAGTTATAGCCTTGTTTTATAATAAAAAAAATGTACAGTTACATCAGTCAAATTTGGCATAATTCCAAAAATGTGTGGTAAACATTAAAAGAGCATGTACAAGAAGAACAATGTCGAAGTAGATTGAATAAAGTTTGACAATAAAGATAACTTGCGGATGGGTGTGGGATCTGGGTTGGAGAAACATTCTCAGAGTCATTCGATCTACATACAGACAAAATTTTATATCGAAAATCCTGTAAACCCGTCATAACCTAGTGTCATGAGCACATGTTGACGAATCTTTTTAAGCTTTTGTTAATCTTCCTAGAATCTACTTATGGGTTCAATTCAAGCTCAAACAATAAATGTCAATTAGGGTAGGTCTTTCGTACTTAATCAAATCAAAATGTGATTAAAAAACAAAGAATCCTGCAGAAAAAAAATTCTTCTTCGTTTGAAACACTTCTATTTTTCGTTACAAAAATATTCTATTCATTAAAAATCTGCACCAATAGCTGACTAAGCAACATATTAATCATTCGGTTTTATCTCAAATAAATACAACCTGTAAATGAGAAAAACCCTGTCAGCGTCGCAGAATATTAAAATTTTCTACAGTCTATTTTGTGACTTCCTAATATGAAATAGCCGCAAAAAAAAGACGCATGAATTTTTTGTTTTCTTCTTTAAACAACAGTTCGAAAACTAATAGAATAATGATTCAGTATCTTGAGTCGTTCCTATTTGTTACATGTCCACGTCAACAATTTACACAATGTGATTATCACATAAGAAACTACCTTTATAAAAAGAATGTGAAGATAACAATCCAAAACAAAATTATTTATTTAACGAACAATCATGTCTTCAAACTACACTGTTGATGTTGAATATGATTATTTATTTAAAATATTAATTATTGGTGATAGTGGTGTTGGGTATGTATAAAATTTTGTTTTATATTTTCAATAATTCTTTTTTATACAAAAAAAAAAAAAACTTAACTTCGATAGAAAAACTGCAATTTTACAACGATTTGCTCAAAACTATTTTTCAAGTGAATATTTTGTTACTATTGGTGTTGGTAAGAATTTTGAATGATAATTCTATTTATTTTTTATTTGTTCTTTTCTGTGAAAAATTCAAACTAAAAACAAAAAAAAAACCTAGATTTTCAAATTCGAACAGTTAATGTTGATTCAAAACGTTGTAAATTACAAGTATGGGATACAGCTGGACAAGATCGTTTCAAATGTGTCGTATCATCATTTTATCGTGGTGCACATGGTGTTATGATTTGTTTTGATATAACGGATTATAAAAGTTTTTCTAATGTTGAAAATTGGCTTAAAGAAGTAAAAAAATATTGTGTAGATAAAACACCTGTTTATCTTATTGGTACTAAATCTGATTTACAATCGAAACGTATGGTTCCTTATTCAACAATAAAAACATATATTGATACACAAAATTTATCTTATATTGAAACAAGTTCAAAAGCAAATCAAAATGTTGAAAATTGTTTTATTGATTTTGCAAGAACATTAGTTGCACATACGGATCAATTAGAAATAAATCATACAAGTAAACAAATAGAACAACCATCCGTTACTTTAAATGAAGAAACAAAACCAGTCACGACTGGTCGATGTTCAGCAGGAGATAAATGTACTATTTAAATATTGAACAAGAACTTTTGTTGTGTTACATATTAGCATTTATTTAGTTAACTAGTATGTATATGACTTCTCAGTACTGTAATTCTGAGAATGATTTTGTATTGCAATATTTATTGGTCGTTTTTTTTAAAAATTTAGTCAATAAACTAACTATTTAGCAAACTCTTTGATTTATGGCTTCTCAAAAAAAAGAAAAAAATAAATAAATCTAATTTAAATGAGTTGACCAGCAGCTCATAGTAATTAATGTGAATGAACTACTTATAATCACTAGATGGCATTGAAATTTCACTTGACTTCAAAAAGCAAATTGACGAATAAATCGATGTTTTTCTACAAAAGTTGTTAGCGCATTCACTGCGAAATTAAAATGTAAAACACGATGTAGCTGCTCTTGGTATTTACAGAGAGATTGTTTTAATCTATATATTTTACGGCACATTTCTGAAACATCTTGTTATTTATTCCTCCAAAATTGAAATCAACAAATAATTCATATTTTATGATGATATGCTATTGAAGTTCGGTCTTTGATTCTATATCAACAATGTCTCACACAGTCGGTACCGGATTTCCAAGGTGGCTGCCACAGTCTATAAGGGAAGAAGGAATGAGTCCAAATTTCTACCCTGTATACATCAACACTCTTTTCAGATCGTATTTCAAAAAAAAAATAATTGTTTGAACAATCAAATAAAAGAATCCTTTCTTCAAATGATAACCAAGTTTGACTGAAATCAGAACTTCTGTTTGTCACTGTGCATAAGAAAGTTATGTTGCGACCAATTAGATGATCAAAGCCAAATAAAAAAGCGGTTAGCGCAATCTCTTGCAAGATTAAAAATGTAAAATACGATGGATCTATTGTTACTAATTAACTGCAAATCGTTTTCTTCCATTTCTTTGCTATACATTTGTAGCTGTTCGTTTATTTAATGCTTTAGAACTAGAGTTTCTCTGCCACGGTCTGTAAGGAGGAGGGAGGAGTGCGCCCAAAATTTCTACTCTATCCACTTCAACACTCCTTTCAGATCATGTTTCACAAAAATGTGAAGTGACCATTGTGAAATTCTCATACATTATTTATTATCAGCTGTTTCCATCGTAATAATTCTAACGCTTTAAACAAATGTAGTCAACCAAAACTTGCCTTTTTTTAGACGGCTCTCTGTAAGAACTCGAACAAGAGATTTCATTCTTGCGTTTGAACAAGTATTTTATAAATTTTACCTTTCGAGATGATCATGATAGAAAATGACAACTTATGAAGCCTACATCGAGAAAGAAGAAAAAGAAAGAACTGATGAAGTTTTTCTCATAAACGTTGACATCATTCAAGGTTAAAAATCTCTCAAATATTTATCATTGTTATACTCAAATAGGCGTAACTATTCGAATATATTGTCGATCAAACAACAAATAAAATATTTACTATAGTTTTAATCAGCTTTTGTGTATTTAGTTAGACGAGTAATGTTATGTTATAATAGTTGAAACATCTGATGAATAGAATTAAAATACTCTTGTATTTCTACTATTGAATTCATTGAATGAATAGTATTCACCAAGAAAATAGTTTCGAAGATTTGCTTCTTGAATATAAAATGAAGTTTATGAAAAATTTGCTTTTATTTATCTAGATTAATATTATTTCGTATTGGATATCATTCTATTGAATTCCATCATGAAAATAGTCTTGATCTCCTTGTTTCAGTATATTGTATATGAAAGCCCAAAAAAAAAAAATTTCGTCATATGCAAAATGATCATGCAATGATGATTTAAAATCTCATATTCAAATATTTGTATTTGATGAGAAAAGATGTTGAGGATAGAATTATATTTTGTTTAGCTATTTGTTCAAAATCAATAACTAAATCTTAATGGAAAAAAACTAGAAGTTAATGACTATGACAATAAGTTAAATCGACAAATGAAGATCCTAAATATCTTGAAATTGGAAAATATAGGTTTTCAAGAGAGAAAAATGGAGAAAAATTATATTGGTGATGAGAATAACAATAAAGATATGGAGTTTTTCAGTATTGGGAAAAATTTTGAGTGAATAGGAACTGCGTATAATAGTGATTAGCATGATTGAAATGTTTTTTAACGGCTACAACTTGGTCAGAAAACTCTCAATATTTAATATTGTTTCTAAATACTTCAAAAATATATGAATTATAGGTAGCATCTCAGAGATATATGTGAGAAGTTGCCTTCGTTAGTTATTCAAAACTGACTTAAAATGAAATTTACTTGAAGAAAAATATATTGAAAAGTTTTGAATGTGCATAATCTTTTTATAAACATGAAGATAGAAATAGATCAAGTTATTATGATTAGATGATCTTTTTTAAAAGTACTAGAAACTTAAAGAAAAAAACATAAAATATCACTTTCTTTCAAAAAGAAATTTCAAAGATAAGAGAAGAAATTGAAATAGAATTTCGTAGCTCGAAGATTTTCATTATAGAAAGAAAAAAACGAATGAATATTCTTATTCTTTTACACTTTTCTCATGGATGTTGATTGTTGAATGCATTGACATACTAATTTGTAACTCGAATTTTTGTTTTATTCTAATTCTCAAACAAATACTACTCAAATCAACGATACACAACAATGATATTCAAATCATTTGGAGTGATCAAAGTCATGTGTTTCATCCATTCATGGTTCATTTCATGTCATTAATACTACTGCTCTACCGTTTTCCTCTTTCATGTCTTATTTATTTTATTTTATCTTTCTCTGATGTTGAATAATTAATTGATCATCATATTCGTCTAAAAATGAATAAACAAACCGATCACTGGCTAAATTCTCTTCGAAAAACAAAAGAAAATACTCTTGAGGGTGTGAATTTGACTTTTTGAATATGGGTACAGGTAGGAATGATAAGAATACCCACACTCACGGCCTCTCCTTCTGATCTTAATTTTCGATATTAGAAAATCTCTATTAGACTTTCCATCTGATAAAGTTTCATCACTTTAAAATAATATTATGCTGTAAACATACCTTTTTCAACATATTAATGGATTTTACTCCTGCCAATCTTCAACTATTATATTTATTAAATAACTAAAGTTACATGATATTGCAGACAGTGGAAGTTTTATGAGATTTCTTCTGAGCCATGTCCGGCACATATTGTTTGATTTCATGTAGAAAACGTAAATATGTGCTCAAGTTCAATGGATGTTCGTTGGTTGTATCAGCCTTAAGTCGATCGAACATTGATTGGGGATTATCCATACACATTGAATACATCATATGTAATACACAACCATTCATGTCAACAACAACGGGCAAAAGACTGGTTAGTTTTTTGTCTATTAGGAAAGAACGAACATGATCATCGCTCCACTCATCGATGCAATTTGGATAGTTCCTTTAAACATAAATAATTCAATTTTTCGACTTTTTCATAATAAATAAGTAAGGCAGTGAAGATTTTTCAACTTTGGACCAAGTCCCTCAAAGGAATAAATGAATAAATAATGAATTTGTTTCATCGCTGAAATAAAATTTATGATTCACCTTTTATGGTAAACCACATTTTAATTATTCATTTGCAAAAGAGTTCTTGCTTGGTGACCTATTCTCAATATGTAATTTTTCATCAATTCTCAGACAGTGAAGACACCTAGGCAATAGCAGTTTTATATCCATAAAGTCAAATTTATACATCGAAATGAACTTTCTCATTGTTTAGAAGGCATAGTCTTAATACAAATACCTGACATTTTTTTAACAAAAACGAATCAAACTATTTAAATATCTTACTAAATGCTACTAAAAGAATTTGAGCAGCCATCGGAATTTCTTTGATGTCACATGATCAAATATGCTAAGAGTTATTCTTCATAGGAGATTTGTTCAATTTTTATGTTTTCTATTTTTTTACCAGTTCTGAAGATGATAAAAACAATAATAGCAAAGAGCCCAAAACTTTCTAAAATTTTGTTTATGCGTAATTTTTTTCTTCATATAAGGAAAACAAAACAGATTAAGTTTTCAAATAGTGTAAAATGTTATGAATGAGATTTTTGATTGGTCTTTGAAAACACTCAAGTTTTGTTGAATTAAAAGAAAAGATTGTTACTTACGTGATCGATCGATGAGTTTCAGATGTCATTTCAGTGATCGAAAGTGCTCTTGCTGTTGCAGAAATTTTTGATACAGAATTGTGGTCCAGTGGTGTTTTTCGAGACGATACTTCTTCGATTGCATTTCTCTTTTTAAGATATGCATTAATTTCTTTTTTAAGGGCGATATAGGCGGAGTCAATTGTCAATTTAGGAATATCGATATAGATTTTTCCACTGACAATAATGCCTAACCATCCATCTGGCTTATATCTTGGAGTCATGACCAATGGAATGAGTGGACGTCGTTTCTGAAATGCATACTGAGCTTCTAATTGACAACAAGGACTTTGTTTGTATGCCTCAGACATACACACAAGAACATATTGAGAATTTTCAATAGCATAAGCCATGGAATCCATAGGAGATCCATACATATTTTCTCGATCAATCCATACTCGAAAACCATCTTTGATAAGACGATCATAAATAGCATAGCAAAGATCTTTATTACGATGTGAATAGCTAAGCATGATATCATATTGATCATTAGATGAAATATTTGTTGATTCAACGTCTTTTTTGTCTTGTTCAAGTTTCCATAAGATGCTGTCTGCAAATCGTTTTCCATCGTCATCTGTAGAATGAAGCAAGGCTCTGAGATGCTTCATGAATTCAATGTTATTCTTAATAGTATTAAATGCTTCCTTATTGAATGTAAGAGCCAGTAATATCTCTAGAGACCATGTATTACCCTCACCTTGTTTTATAAGTTCTGGTTCGGTTGCACATCGTATTAAAAGGGGTAATCCTTGTTGTTTGACAATCTCATCTTTAATTTGATCATGTTGTACTAGACCTAGGCGGAACAGAATTAAGCACGCGAAATCACTGATTTATAAAATCGAATAGGTTTGAAATATATATTTTTGATATCTGTAAAGAACAAATACGACTATTTGACTTGATTTCTTAAAGAATTTGATAAATAATGATGTCCGTTATCAAAGAATTATCAAGTAACAATTTTTTTAAAATCTATATTTATAATTCCTATTACTTACTTTTTAAAGCTATTAATATATTACTTAGAGGTTCTCGTTGGCAAATATTATTGCTAATATCATTAATTTTTCTAAGAAAAATCGTAACAATTTTGTCAGGTGATGCGAGTGTTTTAATATCTTTTTCTGTTAATATCGCTGCTAGAATACGATAAATTTGAAAATGTGTAGCTTCATCTTGAATACTATCGACTATTGTAAGAAGTCGTGCACTAATTTGAAGTTTTTTCATTTTACCAATGTATTGTTCGATAAAAATGAAACTTGATAATTGCTCAACAATTTCTTGTATTAATTCGATCTTGATTAAGTCAGTTTCTCCTTGATTTGGATTTATGCTGAAGAGCATTTCGGTCAAATGAGATAATAATTTTTCGTATTGATCGTAAAATGTTTCATTATTCATCATACCATAAGCACAAATAAACAGAAGAGCACAGATCGAACCTATCACCGTAGTTACCGATTTATTTACTTGTTTAAATGGAAGTCGTTTGTTAAAAAGTGGAAGAAGAATTTTTCGAACATCATTTAATATATCTCTGAGATGTTGACTTCGGCATTGGTGTAAAAAAAGTGGACATCTTTTTAAAAAAATTCTTCTCGTATACTCATATCTGTTTGTTCTCCGACATGTTCAAGCATTTCTTCATAATTATGTGATACAAAACATTTTGCCACTGCTTCGAAAAGTATTTTCATCAAAGGATCATCTTGAATGTTAAGTCGCTTTTGATTTAGTTTTTCATATGCAAAAAGTAGATTATTTAGAATTTCTACGAATTCTTCTGATACATTCAATATATCCTGAGCACATTTATTGATACCTTCACTGAATTCATTAATTAATGGTGTGTATATCAATAATCGTTTGAATATATCCACATGATTATTAACGAATTTAAAGGTCATACTACTGATTAAGCTGGAAATGTTTTTGGTCAATTGAGACATTGTCTGATTATTTCGATAGTCGTGTAAAAGTGAGACAAGTGTATCGCGAAGAGTAACAAAAAGTGGATGATCCAATACGTGAGGATCATTCATTTGTTCCTTTTTAATCGAATGTAAAACATTCACTACTATATTTAGTAGAGTGGTATTATTTAGATCATTGTGTTGGTTGAGTTGAACGAGAATATTATCGCAAAATGTTTTTACTTGATCAATGGTAACTACTTTTGATTGTCTTTGGAATTCTTCACAAAGCTGATTGATAACAGACGAACTCATTTTACTAGAAATGAAAGACTTCAAATAACTGTGTAGAAGATTACGAATAGTGAATTATAATGCAGAAGTTTGTCGTCCTGTATAGAGAAAAAAAGCAAATGCAAATACTTGTCGTCTAAGATGATTTTTTATGTTGCTAAGAAAGAAAACAAAGAAAAAGAAAAATGAGAATTTTTTTTGACTGTAATGCGTTTTTTAATAATTGGCAACTACGTGTAAATGTACGTATGCATGTATAAAATATAAAAACTTTATTGAGAAAATAATCGAAATAGAAAACGACCAGAACAATGTTATTTATTTGTATCAATAAGTGATTAGGTGTGGATGTTTGAAGGGTGTACATGTGTGGGTGTGAGTATCAGTAAAGAGAACACTAGAAAGAAATCGCACTCATTCCTTATCAGAACTGTGTTGCAGACCTATGGATATTATCATTTCGTCATATGGTAATGCACTAATCTAGAAAAAAAGATCTTTTGTTGAGACAAGAATAGATGCAAAGTTTTAAAGACAAAATAAAATTGAAAGCGACCGCTATCTAGATAAAACCGAACGATTTTTAGACTTGGAGTGTTTAATTTTTTTTTGGGAAGATGCACCAGCTATCATTTCAAAAAATGCGAAAAAAGGAATCCTATCTTTATTTTAGTTTTAACAATCAAAAATCTGACTTGAACTTGTAAAAGTTAATAGACTGTCTGTTCTTACACTTTTTGCCCGAAATCATATTACACGCTATCACAAGAGAAGTCTCTTGGTCTCGACAAGTCTAATAGATCTGAATAAATTCAGTTCTGATAATATCTTATACACGCAATATCTTCGATAAAATTATAGACAAAATAAATCAGCATGTCACAAATATTGCATAAGCGAATTGAGTAAGAACACTTTCAGGTAAGAAGTTTTTGTTACAATGTTCTTCATCATAAAATTCATTTTTTTAGTTATCAAGAAACATTATTGATTATTTGTAGTGTTTAATGTCAAAAACTATAAACATTGATATACAACTACATTTTTTACTGTAGAACTAGTTTTGTTATATGAATTGTGGTAAAAATTTTAGATAGATCAAAATGATCACGTTTCCCTTCTTCCATAGGTCATCGATAAGGTTAACTATAATTGAGTATTGATGAAGTTGTTGTCAGGATCAAAGGTGAAAAAAGAAGTTGTTACAAATGATCATTAAGGGAATAAATAAGATTCAGAATGCATTTTACAGATTTCTTTTTTTTCATCATTCATACGAGATGGTCTCCGATGCTATTGATTATATGAATCATAGATATAAAATGAAACATATTTCAAGTTAGGTAACCATTTTGCCAGTGATGTGCACAAACGTCAAGTACTGTCTAATGTCAATATTATATCGTCAATATTCAATGATTGTATCTATTTAATAGAAAATCACGTTGAGTTCAATAAAAATAAAAATCTACAATTAATTCAAAGCTTCTTATAAATAATCCTTTCATTTTAACATTGAAATTTTAGTCAAACTAATCTGAAGACAATTGTTTTTTTTTGTTTTAAATAGAAACCCTTAATTGTTGTTTGACATGAGTTTCAAGATTATGATGATCACAGAATATTGCGCATATTAAAATATCACCATCATCATCTATGTGTAGTGTATGCACATTATAAGCCATTCATACTATTGCTTCTAACCTAGCTGAAGTAACAACTTCGCCTGTATCGGTTGAGATTTTTTTTAATAATGATCATGAAACCAGTGATGATAGTAAACTGCTATGATTACTGAGATCTAAAAGATAATACCCATTTGCCTGTCGAAACAAATCTACGACATTGATGGAATGTTAACAATATCTAAATACAAGAAAAATATTTTTTTTTGCTCTACTTACTTTTCTAAATCTGCAGAAAATAGGTTCAATGGAAGCTTTATTGTCGATAAGTAAATGGACTTAATAAAAATGAATCAAGAATTCCTTTTTCGTCCAAACCATATTGAACATAGAATAATAGATGAAGAATATGGGTTATCAATGATTTTATTCGATCAATTGCTAATTTTTAAATAGTGTCACCTGATAGAACTAATGGATCAGGAATTGATGTATATACTTTAAATTTTAGGGTGTAGGTGCCCAATTAATATTACACTCATACTCACAATTTCAATAGTATTGTCAACCATGCGGTTAAATCCTTTTTTGTGTACTTATTCAATAGCTTCATCTTATTTCATATATTAATGACCGCAACGTTTGCATTCAAGAAATATTTGAATATTTAAAGAATACTTTTAATTAATATCATAATACAAATGAAATAAATAATAAAAACAGTTAATGAATAAAATACAAAATTAACAAGTCTGTAAGAGAATATTTAAATTGTCTGTGCCATCATTTGCTACGGCAAAATCCAGCTTCCTGTCATTGTTGAAATCACCACTGACAACGAAAAACGGGCGGGATCCGTAACCCAACGAAAAGGGAATAATACTTGCGAATGCGCCATTACCATATCCAAGAAATACACCAAGATTATTAGTGCCATGATTAGCGACAACAATGTCTGGTATGGTATCGTTGTTAAAATCATCAACAGCTACAGAATATGGGTCAGAATTAGAGCCCGTTGGATATGTCGTTTGATTTGTAAAAGAGCCATTGCCATATCCGAGAAAAATACCTACATTATTAGAACCATAATTAGCAACGACAATATCAAGTCGACTATCATTGTTGAAGTCATGAACAGCTATAGAGTATGGAAACGAAGATAGGCCAGTTGAATATGTCACTTGATTTGCAAATGAGATATTACCGTATCCAAGAAAAATACCAATATTGTGTGTACCCAAATTGGCAACGGCGATATCCATTCGGTTATCATTGTTAAAATCACCAATAGCTAATGATCGTGGTCGGCAACCATTACCAGTTATTAATGTCGTTTTATTAATGAAAACTATATTGGTATAACCAAGAAGTAGACTTACATCATTGCTACCATAATTGGCAACAACAATATCCAGTCGATTGTCGTTATTGAAATCACCAACAGCTACAGACGATGGAGACGAACCAGTGGAATATGTCATCTGATTCCTAAAAGAATCATTGTCAAATCCAAGAAGAATACGGACATCATTACCACCATAATTGGCAACAACAATATCGAATTGAGTGTCGTTGTTCAAATCAACAACAGCTATAGATGATGGATTAGAACCAGATCCAGTTGAGTATGTTGTTTGATTGGTAAAAGAGCCATTTCCATATCCGAAAAAAATACTGGCATCACTGCTACCGTAATTAGCGATAATGATATCTAGTCGAGTGTCGTTGTTGAAATCACCAACAACTACAGAGTATGGATTAGAACCAGCTACATATATCATTTGATTTCCAAAAGAACCATTTCCATATCCAAGAAGGACACTAATATCATTACTATCCCAATTGGCGGTAACAATGTCTAATCGAGTGTCATTATTGAAATCAGCAATAACTACAGACGACGGAGAAGAGCCAGTTGCATATTTAATTTGATTTGTAAAAGATCCATTACCATATCCAAGAAATACACTCACATCATTACTATATGAGTTGGCGACAACGATATCCACTCTTATATCGTTGTTGAAATCACCAACAGCTATAGAGAATGGATAGGAACCAGCTAAATATGTCATTTGATTTGCAAAACAGCCATTACCATGTCCAAGAAGAACGCTCACATTATTGCTACCGTAATTGGCGACAATGATATCCAGTCGAGTATCATTGTTGAAATCAGCAACAACTACAGACGTTGGATAAGATCCAGCTGAATACGTCATTGGATTTGCAAAAGAACCGTTACCATATCCAAGAAGGACACTGACATTGTTGCTACCGGAATTGGCGGTAACAATATCTAGTCGAGTGTCGTTGTTGAAATCACCAATAGCTATAGAGTATGGACCATAGCCAATTGAATACTTTATTTGATTTGCAAAAGTTCCAACGTTGTATGCAACAATGACATCTACATTATCACTGTCATCATATGTGACAACAATCTCCGATTGTTTGTCATAATTGAAATCACCTGAAACAGCAACAGACGGAGTAGAAATGAAACGAATTCCGTTAGTTGTTTGAATTGCAAATGTTCCCTGTCCATCTCCAAGCAGTATATCTATGTTCTTCGAACCATAATTGCCAGCAGCAATATCCAATTGAGTATCACCATTGTAATCACCCATGACGATAAAAGTTGGATGAGAATTTGAACCAGTATTGAGCATCATTTGGCTGCTGAAAGTGCCATTTCCACATCCAAGAAGGACACCTACAGTATTAGTGCCGTAGTTAGCAACGGCAATATCCAATTTATTGTCATTGTTCACATCCGCGACAGCAACATATCGTAGACGAGAACCACCACCAGATGCTAGAGTCGTTTCGTTCACCAGAGTTACTCTATTATGTTGAAGCAATACACTTATATTATTGCTATAGTAATTGGCAGCAACGATATCAAGTCGGCTGTCGTTGTTAAAATCGCCAACAGCTACAGATCCTGAACCAGAACCAGTTGAATAGGTCATTCGGTTTCCAAAAGAACCATTACCATATCCAAGAAGGACGCTCACATCGTTGCTACCGTAATTGGCGACAACTATATCTAACCGACTGTCGTTATTGAAATCACCAACAGCTACAGATTGTGGACGGGAGCCAGTTGAATATGTCATCTGATTCCCAAAAGAACCATTGTCGTATCCAAGAAGGACATTGATATCATTACTAGCGTAATTGACGACAACAATATCGAGTCGAGTGTCGTTGTTTAAATCACCGACAGCTACCGAGTATGGATTAGAACCAGTTGGATATGTCGTTTGGTTTGCAAAAGAACCGTTACCATGTCCAAGAAGGATACTGACATCATTGCTATACACATTGGTAACAACGATATCGAGTCGAGTGTCATTGTTGAAATCACCAATAGCTACACACGATGGAAAAGAACCAACTAAATATGTCATTTGATTTGCAAAGCGCTCGTAATAACTAAGAAGAATATCTATAGAACCAGTATCGTTGCTAACAAGGACAATATCTACCCAACTGTCTTTGTTGAAATCCTCTATGACAAATGAGATAGAAGAAACTGCTCCAGTTGAATACATCATTGGATTTGTAAAAGTACCGTTTTCATAACCAAAAAGTATAGCTATGTTGTTTGTGCCATTATTGGCAACGACTAAGTCTAGTTGTTTGTCCTGGTTGAAATCAACAACACTAATCGAATATGGAGAAGACGAATCGATGAAATAGGTAATTTGGTTTGCGAAAGTTCCGTTACCATTGCTAAGAAGTACGCCTATACTGTTAGTTCCATAATTAGCGACAGCAATATCATCGAGAGTGTCGTGATTGAAATCGCCAACACTGATTGAGTGTGGGTGAGAGCCAAAGCTAGTTGAAAAAGTTATTTGATTTGTAAAAGTGCCATTGGCATTTCCAAGAAATACACCAACATTGTTAGTGCCATAATTAGCAATGGCAAGGTCTAAATGTTTGTCATTATTAAAATCTCCAGCAGCCAGTGAAGATGGAAAAGAATCATAGCCTGTTGAGTATGTAAATGGGTCCGAAAAGTTACTATTGCCATATCCATATAGTATACTTATACTATGGGTTCCATAATTGGTGGTGGCAATATCAACTTGTCTGTCGTTGTTGAAATCAGCTACAATAATGAATATCGAACGAGATGAACCAGTTGAAAGCTCTCTGTCTTTCGCGAAAGACCCATTTCCAAGTCCAAGAAATATACCGACGTTATTAGTGCCAAAATTTGCGACTGCCATATCCAATATATCATCATTGTTCAAGTCACCAACTGCAACCATGTATGGAATAGATCCAGTACCTGTCGGACACTCAATTGGACTTGAAAAAGTACGATTGTTATATCCAAGATATACAGCAATATTGTCAACGAGATGATTGGCAATAGCCATATCTAGCCACGTATCGTTATTGAAGTCACCAACAGCGACAGATCGAGGCCCATAATTGTATTCAATTGGGTTTTTGACCGTTGATTTGAACTTTAGCTCACACTTTTGAACTAAACGACATAAGAAAAACGATGTAAAGACTAATTGGTTGCTTAAGTGAAACTGTTTCTATTGGATCTTCATAAATCGTACAATACGTTGTCAGAAGTTGTCCTATTTTTTACTTGAACACAAATCAAAACCAGCATCTTTCTAGAGCTTGTGAGTAACAATGGACAAAACTATAACAAGAGACGAGAATAGATGTGAGTCTACCGGCTGACTGGAAGCGAACAAGAATACTGAGAACATACATCTGCAATAGCGAATGTATGTGTCAATGTTTGCATCATAAGGACAACGAATGTTCACCAATACCTTTTCGATTGATTAGTGTGCAGTTATTTGTTGCTGTTAGTTTTTGCATAGTGAGCGATCTATGACTTCTATCGATCTATGCAATCAGAAATAGCTAGAAATGTTCCTTGAAGTGTTTACTTATAGATCTTCAGTCACATTTTATTTTACTTATAAAAAAAATGGCTTCTATATAAATAATAAAGAACATACCGCTAACTTTTCGTGAAGTGAAACAAACTATCAGTATACCAATAGTCATTGTTATAATTGTGAACATAGTAAATGCACCTGTAGCTATTAAATATCGATGTTCTGACGACCACGAATATTCCCTAACGAAAATATTCTCAAGATTATGATGATTGAGAAGAAAAGAAACTGATATACAAAGGTGTTGGAGTCATTGATGACTTCTTCATATTGTTAGTAACAATTATAAATCCTGCTGAATTAGATATATATTGGCTTGGTTTTTCATGTTGGCCATTGTTGACGCGAGAATGTTGTTCAGTAAAAGAATGTTCAACTGAAATTGCACTATTATCAATATAATTTTCGTTCATCTACAACGACACAAGCATATTTTACAAAAATAATTTTTAGGAAGTAGTCATTGATCATTAGAACAAGTTTCTAAAATAAAAATGAATGGTGATCGAAAATATGTATACAGAAAACACGATTTACAATGGATATGCTTTCAAACAAGATATTTTTCTGTTTCGAAATTGACTTGATTGGCTAGATGTTCTTATTTAAAAATGACCTTCTGCTAATTGATTTGTCCTATTTATCTGTAACTTTCCTTATTCAATCTTTTTGATCAATGAAAATGTACTTTATTAACTACATGATGCATTCTAATAACCAGTATAATTTATACATATTGGTATTTTATCTTTTGTAGTGTAGATGTATTATATAGTTTAAAACAAAAATATGTTTCATACCAAAAGATTGCTAAAGAATCGATGAATATTGGAGTAAATCGATTCTATCTATTTGTAAATTCACTAAAGACAGATATGAGCGAATGCTAGATAAGTCTTTATAGGACTCTTACGCCTCCAAAATAAACGTCAAAAGTCATATGAGAGAATTTCTTCAATCGATACCGTTCGTTTGAACTAATTTTTTTCGAATAGAGTAGAGTTACAATGAAGATGAAGACTACAAAATGAATTTATCTATTGCTATTGAGTTTTAGAAAACATGATCACAACTGATTTCTGTACTTCAGGTTATTTTATTTGGCTTATGTCTCAATAATTTAAATTGACAATTGCATTACAAACTCATCTTATATATATCATATTCATTTTAACAGTCATATATCAATGTAATTTGTTGTTCGTAGGATAAATGATTCTGTCTCTACTTTTTGTGCTTGACTTTCATTTAAATGCTAAGTAATTTATTGAAAATAACCCTAAGCAAAAAAAATCATTTTAGCTAAGTAGTAATATTCACAAATACCAACATTCCAAATCTATATCAATCCATACCCTTGTGTGTACGAATCAATAAAACTGGGTTCTCAGCAACTTTAATTTCAACGGAGAATTTTGTCAATTTCAGCGTGTTTGTGTGTCGATATGAGTTCTGGATGTTAATGAAAACCTTCTTTTTAAAAACACTCTCGTCTCTACACTCGCATCTACATCCTAAATTTGAAATAAACTTTCAATGACAAATATTTATTGAAAAAATAGAGTGGATGGAGGTGAAAACGTACTGGAAAATAGGAAACCCAAAAAAACCTTGAAAGACCAATACAGATCACGTATAAAAGAAACAGGTATGCATTCACACATGACATCAGAACGAAAAATATAAGTGAAATATACATGTATCACGGTGATGGTTCAATACTGACAGAAGGAAAGAAAGAAAGAAAATATAAACGCCATACCACCATAAAAAAATTCAATCTGTCTTAGATAATCGTACTTAGTCTTTATTAGAAATTATTTAGTGTTAATAATTTTTACTTAGCAATTTTGTTTTATAACTATGATTTCAATTTATAAACTTAGCAACTACAATTCTTCTTCAAATATTAGTAATATTTACTGATGTTGTGCACAATCATGCGTACATGATCATAAATGAATCAAATACAGCATTTTTATGGTGTGCTGTAGATTTTCATTTACAGATATCCGTTTACAGTTTGATATATGGCTCTTGTAAGATACGAATAAATTACAAATCGCATTTCTGCATTAGCTATTATAGTTAAATACGAATCTAAAACAGTTTTTATACATGCCTTTTACATTTGGAAAAAGCACTATGAACAGATTCGTTCTAATCGATTCAAATAATCATAATACAATACAACAGTTACTAGTAACTTTTATTTCGTTTAAATTTTCTCAATTTTAAAGAAAAAATGAAAATAATACAAATAATGATACTGACTATACTTTTTCCTACATGATTATTGTTTACATTTGATTTTACTCTTATTTTCATCGATCAATAAGGTTATTTTCTAATCGGCAATACTTTTTATACTTGCTTGACTATTTTTTTATTGCATAATTTATATAAAAGACATTTTATTCATGAGATAATTAACGTCATTTGACTCTAGTAAATTATACTTATCATTACAGTCCAATCTAATAGTTATATTCTACGCATATGTACAAACTTGCTTTAAATGTGTTTGAAGAAGAGAACTGATAAATTATATCGAAGAAGAAAAAACATATACCTTGACAATTCTACCGTGACGATTCTTTTTTTATCATACGTATCACTTTTGTTTTTCTTTTCTACTTTTTAAACGAACTGATGAAATACTGATTGAAAAAAAAAGAAGTAAGCTTTTAAACAATAACACAAAAACTATACTAAAAATTGCATATCATATCAATCGACTTTTTGTCTTAATTTACCTCACAATTATAAATGAATAAAAGAAATTATAGTTAATTCTATCTTTCATATGTCCTATGCAAAGAAAATCAGTCTCTTTAGTTAGTTGATTTAGAACATTAAAAGCAATCAAATTCTTGCGGAAAGAAAAATGAATATTTCGGAAGCTTTATCGACTGATGATGACCATTAAAAATCTGAGCATATATCTACTGAAAACTGAATAAAGCATCCTCCATGTGTAGATAACAAGGGCATTTAACGAAGTTTCACAAAGAAAAGTTCATGAACTTTAGTTAAATCTCAGAAATTTGTAAAAATGCGTTAAATTTCTCACACTTTTTCAGGCGTGATTATCTTTTTAACGATAACTAACTCGTTACATGTTCTTAATTGTTGTATTCGTTGTCACACATGATGTTTTAAAGTCGATTAAAGAGTGCTGATTAAACAACGACACATATGTAGATTGTGTGCCAATCAGCGTCAGTGGCACGATCTGACTATCAAAATACTAACAGGCAAGAGTTTGAGGGTGTAGGTGACAAAAAGAGCCACACTCACCCATACGGCCATACCTCAGTTAGAAAAATATTTCTAAATTATTGATAGCTTTCATTTGATCATAGGAGTCAGAGTATTAAAAAACAATCGTGCTTTGTTAACGAAACATGAAGCTCTATGGTGACACTGAAACACAACTCCGGGGTAACTGTTTTTGAGAGCTTTGTTTGCTTTCTTATCAGTTTACGGTTGCAACACAAAATGCATATTTAACGAATATGTTGTTTGTCTTCAGTTGCGATGGCATATTTTCAAAATAAAAATATCTATTTTATGGACTTCTATGGGCTCTGTCTATTACACAAAAAAAATGAATTAAGCAATAAATTTCAAGAACGAAGTTTTTTTTTGTAAAGAATCTCGTATTAGTATATTATTTTTAATGCCAATGAAAAACATAAACTAGTTGTTTTCTTTTCGAAATGTACTTGACCTTAATTTTACGAATGAAAGCTGCCGCTCTTTATATACAATTAAATGTTGAACAGTTCTATTCAATCAACAACTATTGAACAACCATGTCTAACTTTGAATTATTAATATCTATTTGATACACGGGTTTCTTCCAGACTATCTGTTCTATCGAAAACAACAAAAACTGTCAGTAAAACGATCTCATACATCATTATAATGTGAATGACGATAGCTTCAAATACCTCTCTTATGATACATGGGTTCTCATTTCTCGAAGGAGGCAAAATGAATCACACTCGACAGCACAGATCCGAATGAATTCGCTTGATCCCGACCGTTATCAAAAGATTCACTAGAAAGGAGCTGGTCCCAATGTGACCAATGTCACTTTTCAATCAGCAAGAACAGATGCTACACTTTCATCTTCGCCGAAAAGGCTGAGAAGCGATAACTATTTTATTGAGTTGAAATCTCCACTGTGGTCTTGTGCTTACGAATTACTAGACGCACTGAACGAAAAAAATATGTAATGTGTAAATAAATCATAGATATTGTGCCTTACGGGTGGACAACGACAGTTGCTTATTACAAACTTCCCAAGAGGTGAATGATCAGTTCTGATCAAGTTCATGTTGCGATGACGAAAATGTACGGGCTAACGACAACATTAGCCTGCCAGAGCAACATTCTACAATAAGAGACGAAGAATGTTTCTCTATGTTTATGACAGTGAAGTTAATTCTATATTGCTGCGAACATGATTGTAAGTAGTTAACTGTGATTGTGCAGTACGTTAGTCTTGTTGAATATTTTCGTGATAGAAGTTTCGTCAAACGTGAACTTCTATAGTCCGTACTTTCTTTTATGAAACCTCGAAATTCAATATTGAGCAATATGTTGCTCAGTAGTATCAAGTTTCTTTTAGCGAATAAAGTTCTGTGTGCAAAGTGAAGATATTCTCATTGATATGCTTGAAGCTGAAACTTTTTCTCGATGAATGTTATGTACTAAATAATTTTAAAAGCAGTAGTATTGAACCCTCTACAGTAGTAAAATAAATGACAGCTCAGCAGCACATTGGGTGTGGTGTGAGTGAAAAGACAACACACACCTACACCCACACCCACAATACTTAGTGTACAGTGAACAAGAGCATAAAGGATGTTGGTGTGGGTGGTTATGTGCGTGTCGATTTGAGTGTGGATGTGGATGGTTATGTGCGTGTCGTTTTGGGTGTGGGTGGTTATGTGCTTGTCGGTTTGGATGTGGGTGTGAATGTGAATGAAGACAAGAGTGCCACATTCACACCACACACAGCCACAGTGACACTTACACCCACACCCCACAAACTCAGGTTATGAGGAATCTAACCATAAGGGTGCATTTACTCTACTTGATTTCATTTTCGACAAAGAAAAGCAAAATAAAATTAAAATACAGAGGTTGATAGAGAACTTAAAGCGCTATATAATGGTATAGTTACTTTTTCCAGAATTTGCTTTTAAAGTTCTAAAAGAGCTGAAATACCCACACCCAACAATTGATTTTCAGGGGTATATATTCTTAACATTGAGTTCAACTAACGCAAATCAATAGTTGTCAATATTGTCTGTAGACTCCTCAGAAAACAACAACAAAAAACGATCGTGCATCTACAATTCGACAGCCAGATTTGGTACAGAAGTATAAGAAGTTGATGGTGTCTGTTTTGAAAATCCAGAGCAATATGTTGCTCTCATTATATTTTATTATTTAAAAAGAAGAATCAGCCGTATAGCAATGAATAGTAGCAAAGCTTGCAGTTCAAATTGACTGGCACTATTTGGAGGAGCAGTAGGAGGGAAAGTAGGAGAAGGAGTAGGAGATGCAGTAGGAGGTGAAGTAGGAGATGCAGTAGGAGGTGAAGTAGGAGAAGGAGTAGTAGGAGGATCAGTAGTGACTGAGTTGACTGGCTTTACTCGAAAGGCAATCTCATGTGTTGCCATCAAATTGTATGTTGTATCCAGGGCTCGAATTCGAACATAATTATCACCTTCAATAGCTGTCCATTCGAATTCACTCGTTAGTACATTAAATGTAGCATCTTTAGGTAAATGCACTGCGGATAGAACAATAACATTCGACGGATATTCACTCGAAGCATTTATTTCTAAATGAATTTGATCGCCATGTTTTGCTTCCATGTAAACAGGAAGTGAAATATCGAATAGAGGCGGATTTCGTTGGTCGACTTTGATTGATGAAATTTCATCACCGGCATTAAATGATGTTTGACCAAATGTTTCATCTTTTGTCACTGATATATCATAGTAGCATGTTCGTTGAGCAATACTCCATGAAGACGATTCCAAGGTAGGATCAATTTTGCAAGCACGTCGAATAGATTCGTCTTGCTCTGGTGAAACACTGGGCTGTGTAAATGACGGCAGAAATAATCGGTTTTGTTCTTTGAAAAATTCAGCTGATTGATCCGATTCATAGTGAAATAAAGAAGTAGTTGAATCGATAGCCCAAGTAACGCCGAATTGTTGATGAATTTGTTCTAATGAGGCAGTACTACTCACTATTTGTCCATCTTGAGCTCGCAGATCATTAGTGGCTTGATTATCATAGGTACCCAATAGACCATACGTTCGTCCACGAAACATGCCAGCTACAGAAGCAGCTACATTGAGTACGAGTGTTGCCGATGGTGATGTCATTTCAATTAGATTGATTTGAATAGTAACACCTAGTGTCCAAGAGAGGGTGAGCACAATTCCATCAGTTAAATTTCGTTCGATGGTCATTTCAGGGAAGAAGAACGTATTGATATTGTCTTCGAACTCGATCATTTCAGTTCCACGACGTACAACAAGATTTTCACGACGAGAAACAGTGATACTTATCGGTTGACTTTCAGGATCACTTGATCGAGCAGCAAAACCTTTTGTAACAGTGACGTCATTCGACGAGATTGGAATAGTACGAATTGTGACATAAATCTGTAGGATTGTTCGAAAGGATTGAATGCGGCTGGTGGAGACAGATCCTCACTAATGGCCAAATAGGTATACTCTCCGTAACCATTGAACATGTAAGATGTTCCATCAAGTGTGATGAAGTGAGGATCACCCCATGTGCCACCATTTTCACCCATCGTATTGCTACCTCTTCGTGGCGGTCGATAGCGCATATATGTGTTGCATATGTCATCATGGGTATCCATCATACAACATTGTAGATAAGGCAAAGTGTCATCGAAGAAATGTTGGACAGGCGATGATGCAAGTCGATATCGATCATCCGTACCTGCTCCTGTACCACGTGTGATTAATTGTCCTTCGATATCGTAACAACATTCGGCACCAGCACCATGAATATTGGAGCTTTTCGATGAATAACATTCTACGGCCGACTGTTCATCACGTTGAGGACGAGCCCGGTGAAGCCAGCAATTGTTCGAATCCGGATTACCTCGATAGCATTGACTATCAAATTCGTAACAACAACGACCGGCAGCTACGGCTTGCGTGCGTGTCATTGGACAAGGAAGAAGACTACCACCATTCCATGTCGATGGTTCTGGCTGTCGACGAGACCATTCGACGCACGATTGGGAAGCGAGTGAAGAAGGATTGCGAACAATGAGAATGCCTGTATTCAATCCAGCATACGTTTTAGATTCGAAGCGAGCTACAACCCGAATAAAACATGTTGTAATAGACGAGATACTGTCAGGTAATTGAAGACGAATCGAGCTAAAGGTAGGATTTAAGTTTTGTGCAAGGATCACAGACGGACTCTCCTGTTGCAATTGCGACCAATTCTTAAGACTCACTTTCCATAATTCAATGTCAATTTTAGTTTCATCGGGAAATGTGTCTCGTGTAGATTCCGAAAAGCGCCAAGTGAGCGTGACACTATGTCCAACATTGAGTAGGTTGTCTCCGTTGCCCGTTTCAATGGTTACATCGTCGGAACCGAATCGTAATGGGGCATAAGTGAAAGTACCAGCTGAAATATAAGAGTTTCCATCGTCAATCGATAAACTTACTAGTACTGGACCATATATCGATGCAAAAGGTGTCAAACATATGACTCGAAATCGATCAATGATGAGACCATCGACAATTTGCGATGATGAATCAAATCGACATTTGGGTTTTGTCCCATTATCGAAGCATGGTCCTTGAATATTGAGTGCTGTAAAACCGAGTTGCGAGCTGATGCGTGGGCGAAGGGTAGCAACAGATGCGTTAGTACCACAGCCGCCGGCACCAATCTCATCCGTATCGACACGAAAAACAAAGAGACCAGGAACATTAACATTGCTTTCATGAACTAGTCGGATAACATCTTCTGTTCGAGAATATGGAAGCATTTCGAAAGCAATTCCATCACCTGCATTGAAACCTGCCTGAGCGTAGGGTTCCGTAGTGTATCCTGGTCCGGCCCATTGCAAATCGTGATAGAGTATGAAGGCAAAACTACGATCTCCATCCGTAGCTAAGACGATTTGAAATGTATTCAAACGATCAATTTTACTATTGTAAGCACCCACACGATACCAAGTGCCCGTGATGACCATCGTAGGCGCGAACGGACGTTGTTGAGGGAAAAATCTTCGCACATAACCACTTGCTTTCGTAAACACGGACAATGTTGTATTCGATACAGATGTATCTGTATAAATCTGATATTAAACTTTGTTACCAATACCACTGACACCACCTCGCGTGTCAATATCCGCCCAGAATCCGGTTACCAGACGTTGATTGTTCGCTAGTGGGAATGGATCTGGGACGTACTGAGAAATTTCTGAGAGAAATGAAAAGAGACCGTTGTTTGCCACCCAAAGTTGACGGTGATTGTTGTCAAAATAGGGAAACAAGTGTGGGAGAGCGAGAGGACCTACGCTCGAGTCATCGTTGGGCGGCACAGTAGAGTCGCCTACCTGAGGCCCAAATGGAAAGAAATCATCCAATGATAAAGCGCTCGACGAGCGTACAAGAATAACACTGAAGATGAATAATGATAGCATTTTTGTGAAACTACAACAATAGCTATGTTAAAGTACTTCGTTTTATAGGTGAGGTGGACAAGAGCATTATTCATGATATAAGATCTAATCGTCTAAACTCAGTTTTTATTATATCCTCAAAATAGCTATTATTTCCTAGTTACGCATACAAGAAGAATGAAATATTTTCGCAAACGTTCATGACTGAATTATATCATAGTCATAAAACTTCAGTTTTACATACATGAGCGCATAATAATGGTGTTGTTGTTGGTAATCATAGTTATTCTGGCTATCTTGCTGGTGTATTGGTCCACTTGAAGACACTTTCGTTTCTTCTTTAGTTTTTTCTTCCTTGCAAATAATGCAATGAAAAGCGTTCGATAAAGATTAGCATAATAAAACTCATACGAAGAGAAACTACACTTACGAAAAAGATTATGTACCATTCACGATCTGATGTAAAAGTCGCACAAAAGAAAAAAGACTGATTTGAGGCAAACGCAAATCGTTTTCGTAGAAATTTATAGTGATAACATAATCTTCAACGAACGCTTAGAGGAAAAACAACGCACCAATGATTGAACAAACTAACTGTGATCAATAAAACTGAACATCATGCATAAAAATTGACTAGGTGAATATAAAAACAACTGCAATAATGTGTCCTAATGTTACTACTGAATGATTAGTGCATTGTCAACAATTTCAATGTCGGCATTTTGTTTTCGTTAAAATCTTTAATATCGAATTTCCTTAGCCGTTTCCGGTTGAATGCTGCCATCTGGCAACATTTAGTCAATATTTCATGAAGGGTTGACTTATACTGATGATACATAGTTTTGACTAAGTATTTTTCCAAAAGATTCAGTCTTCAATTCTCTATAAGATCATAAAGAAATAAATGTCAGCGAGACAAATGCAAAAAATGTTATTAAAATACTACTGTAAACATGCAATATCAACAACTTTCCAGCCCAAAATACGATTTTCTTGTATTTATATATTCTCATGTCAAGCTATAAAGACAAATTAAACTGCCCGTTTTGTAGAGCTTCAAGCTCTCTATCTAATTAGTATGTTAAAAAAAGTTCTATAACAGAGCTTTATAGCATAAAATCAACGAAACCTTCCAAACAATTTGATCTTTTTTAGCATAATTTTGCATTTTCTTGAAAAATTCATTGAACTTGGCCAAGTAATACTTCTTTAGTGCAACATGTTTAGTTGCCGAAAAGCTACTGCGTCATACTATGAAAGTCTATGTCCATTCTTAATAAATGTCTCTCCCTGCCGACCAGATGCAATTAGGAAGCCAACGTATAACAGATATGGAATAGTTGTCCAATAATTGGATATTCTGATGATATTTGTTAGTAATTTTCTTTCTTATGTTTCATCAGATAGAGCGTTCATGATTGTACCAGAGGTAGCACTTTAAAACTTTTAATAAGTGTTTTAGTCGTAAGAAAAAACGTAAGTCAACATGAATAGAAGTTCATGGAAAGTTATTAATAATATTTGTTCTCAGTATTACTAAAAAAAATTTTTGTGTTTTATCTCTATGGCATGACTTTCTCTATGCTTTTACAGAGAACTGACCACCGAATCTTTTAATAAAAACGTATTCCGAAATTATAAAAACTGAAAGAGATATGGGAGAGATACGAAGCCTGCCATTAATTTTGCGCCACCCATTACTATAAGATCAAAACCTTTTTTCCAAGAAAGAAACGACTGACTTTGTGACTTTTTTTTGAATTAATTCACTTAAAATAGCTTTCGTAACTTTAATGGCTTTGAAAAGTATATACTCCTAAGCAAAATCTTGCCCTCCTCTTTCTTATTACGCTATCATACTTCACATCAAACTTATTACCTAGCAAAGATATGATATAATAGTTTTATTTCAATGTGATGTACAGATCATACCGAAATAAAACTCTTATGTCATATCTTTACTTGGTAATAAAGTTGATGCGCATGAAATATGTTAGTATGATAAGAAAAAGAAGGAAAAAACTTTTTCGGAGTGTAGGTGTGAATGTGGATTGGGTGTTGGTGTGGGTGTGTAGTTGTGGGTGAGTGTGTAGGCAATTATGGGTCTAGTTGTGCGTGTAGGTGTGGATATGGCGGTCTGGTCGGGTCTGGAAGAGTTCGTGTTGGTGTGAGCGTAGAGAAAAAGTATAGTCACACCCACACTCTAGTTGTTATAAAAATACCGAACTGATTTCCAGGACAAATTTTTGACTGCAGATGTTTTTGGTCTTCGCCAAAAGTTTGCCCTCAATGAACTAATTTTAAAGTAGATAAAATAATTCTTAATGTATAAGTGAGAAAGAGCATACAATTTTCATTCTGCTTATTAATTTATAAATAGGTAAAAAATTGAATGGATATGTTGTGCACAGACATTTTACTCACAGGCTAAATTCTTTATTATAGATTCAATACAAATCACACACATGAGTTAGTCAAAAACAAATAGAAATTAAATGAAACGAAAAGTTATTTATTACAGACGATTTTCGCCAATCCTATAAAAATCAAAGTAGCGATCGCCATGAGGTTTCCGAGTGTTTTGATAGCGCTGTTCTTATATTCGTTCGTACTATTTCTATACTCGGCAGGATTAGTCGTATATTCGTTAGTACTATTTGTATACTCGATAGGATTATTCGTATATTCGTTAGCACTACTTCTATACTCCGTAGGATTAGTCGTATATTCGTTAGTACTATTTGTATACTCGATAGGATTATTCGTATATTCGTTAGTACTACTTCTATACTCCGTAGGATTAGTCGTATATTCGTTAGTACTATCTCTATACTCGGTAGGATTATATGTATATTCGTTAGTACTATCTCTATATTCAGTAGGATTCTTCGTATATTCGATATCATTAATCCTATAAACCTTCCAAATACATTCCGAGCTGATTGGACTGGTAGCTACAATAGTATTACTCTCGGAGCTGAGAGTAAATTCTATGGTTACAAAATATATGGTAAAAGAAGTCGTATAGCCGTTCGGATACGGAACATCGCCTGAGATTGAGGGTAGCCCAAAGCATTGACCATCCAGATTGGCTGAAATTGTCAAAGTGTCTGTTGAAGAATTCGTCACTACTGTTTGTCCAGATAAACAACAACAAACTGTTGTGTTGCATCCATTATCAGCAGTAAAAGTACCAATCCATGTCTGCGAGTGAACAAGTATGATGATAGATGTTCCAAGGAGAAAAGTAATTGTTGACTGCATGTTATTTTTGGTGAAGATAACACGAAACTAGCTGATACTCAACTTATGTGATTATAGCTGCATCTATTCCTTGTATACATGTCCATGACCAAGCAGAGTTCGACAAGAATATAATAGGAATGACGTGTGAGTGGATATTTGAAGTATATATATATATGTATTTTTTCTTCGTTCTCTGCCAGCTTTCGAGTGCTCGACAATTCCAATATTTCGAGCCTTCGGCAAACATTGAAGTTTCAAGAACTCAAAAAGCGGAAAATTATTGAAAGAATACGATCGATTCCTCGGGCGAACTTCGACCACTTGAAACCTATCAAAGTTCCAACTAATCAAGAAAAATAAATGCATTGACAGAATAATTTTGAGTGGTCCAATAGAAGCAAAATTGGTTTAATACTAGTTTTGTCTGCTGAGTCTAATTTTCATTGCATGATACTTTCCTAAATAGGGATGTTGACATGTCTTTGACTTCTATTCAATGGTTTTAACAAATTTATGCATGTCTGACATATATCTCACATCAATTTCGTAACTTTCAAAACAATGCATAATGTCGAGTGACGACAACTAAGACCGAAATTCGTTAGTGTTCTCTTGAAGACAATGTAATACCAAATTTTAGCGCTTTACATGTTGAAATAAATCTCTAAGCGTTGATTTAGTACTTGATCACAGAAGTGAGTCGATTATTGAACGTCTTATTCATTAAATACCGGGTGGAGCAAAAGTTTTGCCGCATTTTTTGTTTTGCATGTATCTCTGTTCAAGAGCATGACAAAACGTTGATCTTTTTTTAAAAGATGCGTCGTCGAATTCTCTACAAACTTCTCTTAGCCTTAATTTAGAACAATAGAACTGAACATTTTTCCAGGTCGTATAGTGTGATCATATGAACTGCGCTTACTTCCCACACACTTTTTTTTGTTTTTTCAATGAGCTTTCCAAGTTACAAACAGGCTCGTAACAGACTTTTTCTTTGTAATTTGAGAGTACATCAAATGCTCTTTCAGAATTATTTGTAAGTGTTTGATCGCAATCTATATTTATCTAAAAACTATGGCCTGTCTATGGTGCTACAACGAAAACGGCTCTCTTGGCACTATTCAGATTTTTCTTCAATGTAAATCGTTTTTTCACGCGTTATTTGGGCTGCATATAGAAAGAGAAATCAATTCTCTACAAAATACTGGAAAAATGAACTCGATTTAGTTATAGGCGGCATTTCTAGAATGCTTTCTTTGAAAAGGAGAAGCCAGACATGAAAATCGCGTTATTTTCAAAATATGGCAGAGCGCCAAACCGAATGAATAAACATTTAAAAACGTTGGATATATATTCAGTCGACAGAGAATTTTAAGAGCTGTCTAGCAATAAATTATGCTTTCATAATAAAATATTCACTTGCAAGAAAAGAATGAAATATTAAAAAATGTGTGGGAAGTGAACGCAGTTCACATGATTACACTATGCGACCTGGAAAAATGTTCAGTTCTATTGTTCTAAATTAAGGCTAAGAGAAGTTTGTAGAGAATTCGACGACGCATCTTTTAATAAAAAAAAACGTTTTGTCATGCTCTTGAACAGAGATGCATGCAAAACAAAAAATGTCGCAAAATTTTTGCTCCACCCGGTAAGCTCTTGGTATGTCATATGAATTCAAATAAGGCATTCTCCTTTGACTAGAAACGTGCTAAAGCTTTCCTGAAATAGAAAGAAAAATGGTTCTTTTTAATCTTTTAGAATTGACAGCCCATGTTAATGTAGCAAGTATATTCTCATCAAACCTCGACCTCGGAAGAATCGAAGATAAGAGCATCCGAATGGTGTGAGTGTGGATGTAAATAATAAGAAGAGTAACAACCGCACTCACACTCACACTCTAAATGTCTTGTACTGACTTATAGATATTGATACGAAACTGCTTTTCATTGAGGTATCAAAGAGTCATATATAGAGCCGCTACCGAAACAATCCCTAGGGTGCTTCGATGAACTACCTTCGAAACTCCCAACAGTTTCTGTATAAGATTTCTGCCCCATAGTTATATGGAAATGGTGACAACGCGGACCGAGTCAGATTATGTAGTGGCAGTCTACCAACAATACAAGACCATTATGTCATGTATTAAAAGTTTATTTTCAAAAAATCTAGGCACAGCTGACAAAGTCAGAAAAATAGCATTGCATATGGCGCAATCTATGGTGTGGGTAGATGTGGGTGTGAGTGTGTTTTCAAACCATCCACACCCACACACTCATACCCACACCCATACCTGATAACCAAAATATAAACCAATTTGAACAACATTCAATATAGAGTTTTATGCAAGAAAATTGTTCAAGAAATAAGTTCCATAGAATAGAACAATGTGATGATTATATAATAATCATCGTCGAGAGATAAAAATCGTTCTATTTTTCAGCATAGAAAAAGTGCTAAAGAAAGATAAAATATTTATCTTTTTACCTTGATATAAATATATTTAATATAAAGACAAAATTTCTCTATTTGATAATAAAAACAAATGAATGAAAAAGAAACGCATAGTAATGACGGCGGTCATATTGAAAATGGTTTAAATTATTATCTAAAACAAAAATGGAAATTATTTGTCACTTTATTTAGTTTATTTAGTTTTATGACAATGGTAAAATATTTTTTTTGCAAAATTTGTAATAAAACAATTATTTTTGTATTTATTATTATTAAAACAAAAATAAACCGTTAGGGAATGGAACTTGAAATTTCTGGTTCAACAATGTTACCTTTGAGTATTCAAGTAAGAACAAATTTGGCTAAATTATCTTGGATTATTGCAGCAAAAAGTTTTGGATATATGATAATAGTTGTTTTTTTTGGACTTTTGTTTCAATCAATTACAAAAAATTATTCAGAATTCATTTTACCCATTGCTTATCTTTTACCATCTATAGGTTTTTAATTATCTTCAATAAATAATCATTAATTCCTATTTTATTTCTATATTTAGCAACAGCATTAACTCCATATTTTAAATCTTTATGGGCACTTTGTATTGCTTTGTTATTTCAGGGAATATCACATGGTTTAATAGACTTAGGTAAACATCATGGTTTTTTAGAATTAGAAATTATTTAACTTTTCTTGATTAGCTTTAAATACATTGATAACAAATATGTGGTCAAGCCGTTCTACAGCACCATTAAATTGTATTTATTTTGGATATCCTGTTGGTGCTTTACTTTCTATTATTGTTGTTCGATCATTTCGTCAAAATGATCCTTTAATTGATAAAAATTATATGAAATATTCAAATTCTACAATAATTATAAAAGAAAATTATTTTCAATCAGAATTAGTTGGAGCGTATATAATGACATCAATATTTTGTTTAATATCATCAATTGGATTTGCTTTGATGGCTTATAAACAAAATCAATATAAAAAAAAAGAAAAATTAAAAAAACTTGTTACTTTACAATCAAATGTAAAAGAAGAAATAAATATTCAATCGAAATCTAAAAGATTATTTAATCAATCAAATTTTTGGAAAATATGTAGTCCAACAACATGTGGACAAGGTTATTTCGCTTACGGATTTATTTTAATATTTCTTATATTATTATTTAATTTTTTTGTTGGTAAGAATTTTCTTTATTTTTTATTAATAAATTTTTCTAAGAATAGATTTCTTTTTCTAATAGGTGGAATTGAACAAGGTTTTACAAAATTTTTTATTTCATTTGTTGAACAAGAACAAATAAATCCAAATAAAAAAGATTCAATTTATTCAATGATTTTTTATTGGTTACCAATGTTAATTGGACGAATATTTTCAACTTTTTTAACTGTTTCATTAATAAGTCCACATATTATGTTAACAATATCATTATTTTTATGTTTATTAACATATTTATTATGGATTTTATTTATTTGGTATATTGGTTTAAATCGTATATCTCTATTTCTATTAGTAACAGCAAATGGTTTATCAATGTCACCAATATCTGCAACATTAATTGGTTGGGTAAAACAATTTTTACAATTGACGCCGATTGAATTATCATTAATATTATCATCAAATGCCACAGGTGGAATTGTATTTGGATTAATTTCTGGTTTCATTTTTCAACACTATGGTGCAAAACATTTATTTACTCTTTTAATTGTTTTGATTTTTATCGTGTTTATTTTATTTCTATTCGCTTTATTTTTGCAACGTTTTCATTCAAAACGAGAAAACAAATATCAAACGAATGAAGCAATTAATCAAGAAGATAATACATTCGAAACATTTCTTAGACATAATCAATATGATTAATTATACAACAAACTATCATTATCAATAATCAACAACATTCATATTTAATAAGATATTTTCATTTGAAAAACATCTATTTGTCTATATTTTTAGAGTAACAAAAAGATTACTTCTATAATTATTGAAATGATAAAAAATTTACATATTAGTCTTTATTCGATCATAAAGTAAACCTAATTATTTAATTGAAATGATTTGTGTTTACAGACTATTATTTGAAAGTTAGAAAAAATTTTATTAAGTTATCGACTTCATCAGAAACGGTGCCGACAAGTGACATCAAGATGAGGATATTTACAAATATGAGACAAACGTTTGCATCAAGCTCATAGTGTTACAAGTCAGTCGAAACTAAGTAGACTTTATAGAAATTTTTCTTGCAGTTGGAAATGCGCAAAAATATTGCTGCTTCGATCAATTTTTACATAATAGTCAAACTTTGAGACAAGTTCTTTAATTTACAAAAAACTAAAACAATTTGCTACGTAGCAAATACTAGTATAAAATCGAAAGATATTTTACTTTGTCTTCGAGCTTTTTGTATTGGAAGCATTTTGGGATCCTGCTTAGAAAAGTTTTTGAACCTTTCTCGTTCCACTTTTGTGATAGCTATTAACCAATGTGATCACTACACAATTTCATTACAAAACTTTGAACTTGTATACAGTTTTCCTGAAGACAGACATAAGAATTTTAGTTATGGTTGAAGATTCGAACTATCGTATAAGTCATTGCGTTCTTTTCGCTTTTGTCACAGTATTTTCAATTCACTAATTGTCAATAAGGATAGTACAGTTAGTGCGCATTTACTTAAGAAATTTGAAGAATGATTCTGAATTAAATTGTTAGAAAAAACTTTAGATATTCTAAATCATCTTTACTTATCACAGAAAGTAATTAAGTTCTTTTTGTAATTTCAATAGCTATTTTATTCATGAAATTATCTCATTACATGAAATCTTTACAACATCAAAGAAAAGTATAGCACAAACCTTCGGAAATTAAAGAAAAAAGGTAGTCAAAAAAAAACTTCTGAAATTTTCAAAAATAGACCTGTGGTAGTCTACCAAAAATGAGAGAATGATGCAACTGAAGTCCTGATTTTCTCAAATTCAAAGAAATCTTATCAGAAATTTCTTTCTAAAGTGAAAGAAAGCAATCATCAGAATTTTTAAAAGCAGGAAGATGATAGTGTGTTCTCTCGGTCGCATCACTAATGAACTTCATAGAACGAAGCTATCAAATATCGAAGTAACCAAAATTGGATACAATATTTAACCAGCTTTCAGATATAGTTTTTATTAGAGTTTACTGAAACTTGTAGAGAAACGGATGTATCTTTTACAAGATAGTGGATATTTTTAAGACAAAAAAGCATTATCAAAGTATTTAAAAACTTGAACAAAAAGAAAAATAATAGATTCTATGATAGTTGAAGTATCTCAAAACAATACAGAATCCGTCGAATATATAAAATACTTTATGTTAAACATATTCGTGTGTTTATTTCTAAACAGAATTCGATTTAATTCTTTATATATTCAAATATTCATCTTTCATGAAAAGAATTTTATCACGTCATAAAACTCTTTGTAATGTCACTATGACATGATTAAATCAACTTGATCAATAGGCAAAATCAATTCTACTTTAGTATACTGAATAGATTATATAAAGGATATGTTCTATGATTTAATAACAGGAATAAAATGACAAATGTTTAAATAATGTATATGATTTTTGTAGATAAAATGTTAATTTGATCATAATGAAAAGAGAGAAATATATCATCATTTGTATCAAAATTTCGGATGATTTCTAGAAAATCTTTCTTTTTTTTTATATTTAAAATACCTGTTAAATAATTCATTTATTAATATACAAAAGAAAAATTCCAAGAAGAACCTCTTCTTAAATAAATTCAAAAAAAGTTCTCATGAATTCTGAAATAGAATCGTCCATCTAGTTACATGCAAGAATATAAATTCAATAACATTTCTATCGAATATATACAATAAAAATTACAAAGGTTTAGGGTATGGGGTGGGTGTGAATGTTGATAATTCTTTTCTTTACCCACACCAACACTCCAAAATCCTTGAAATTCATAAAACTTCAGCCTAATCTGTGTTGTCGAAGGGTAGACTTGGATGGGTTTAAATTTTATGTACAAATTTTCTATTATTACTCAATTGTTATGTTCTTGTCTCTGACACATAATACATTGCCACCTGAGTGTAGATGAAGTTTTAAAAGAGATCACCACCCATACCCACCCTCAAGAATTACCTAGATTTATGATAAAATGTTGATCTATTTCATGCGTCATTTTAGTTAATTCTTCAAAATTTCAGAAATTACTTATATTTATGGTTCTGCTGATGCTATTTATTCTTTTGCTTTAATGAGGGAAGTTTTGGTAAAACAAACATTGAAATTTCCTTTTTAGCAAATCTAAACATAACTATAGACAATTCAAGAGTTCATAGGCAATGGTTTTTCTTTGATTTGTACGATCATTTCATGTTAATAATGCCTCGATATTTTGTCGTTCAAGGTAAAGTTGTGTCGAATCAAAGAGAAGAACATGTAGTATATCACTTTGTTTGACAAGCAGAGGTATTTCTATGAGAATAAAAAACAGATACATAGTGAATGTCAATCGATTCCATTGAGATTGTCACCGATACAACCAAAAACAATGCCTTCGAAGTTCTCTTCATCGATCAAACATTGAATTACTTTTAAATAGATTTATTTTGATTCTTTAGTAAATATATTGAATGATAATTTTTTCATGATAATGTCATTCAATGGCACCATCTCTTCCTCATTCGGAAAAATCACTTTCAACCCATGTTCAATCAAATGTTGAACAACATGACTATCCGGTTTCATCGCAAAACTTGTACCCAAAAAATCTGATCCAGATATATGGTCAAATACCGCGATCTCTATCCTGATTATTTCAAAATTTACCTTGTGAATTTTTCTCTGTTTTATAGCATAGACGACAGCATCACTGATGTGTAGAACTACCAAATCTGAATAACATTCAGCAATTCGTGATACAACAATCTGGGCTAATCAGACAGGTTGAATAGAAATGAATGAAATCTAGCAAAATTACCCGTGTTCGAGCCAATCACTAGAAGATCAATGTCACTATTGACTAATTAACGAAGATCTTCAACAAGATAGTCGATAGCTTTGGACCATACACATTACTCGAGTAACTTAACATAGTGGAAAATATTCACCGACACGATTTGAATGCAACTGCTATGGCCTGGCAATGCTTCATTAACCATACGGTTTATGTGATTGTAATACTTCAATCAATAGCATATATAAGTAAGACTTCCTTAATTTATGATTTACATCAACTGTCGAAAAATATGTTAAGCTGACGAGCAAGCTACACATGCGCTGTTGTCTTACTTTGCTTTCCATAAATTGATGATTAGAGCAAAACTGACATAAGTGAATGTATAGACGAAGAAAAACGTTATTAACAGTTCTTATTATTGCTAGGGTCAAAAAGAGAAAGTACAAAGCTCATAGATTTCATTAAGGGTTTAACTGCAACGAGATGGCATATACGACTTGTCTGTTGTCAATCTCGTACATTTATCTTTTTACTAGGGTTTGTGAATGAAGATTTGAATAGTCTATCGATTAATAATATATTCAACTAAACGAAGTTTGAAGCACGCTTTACTAATACCTTTCATATCTAGATATTTTCTTTTAATGAAATGTACTGTTTGATTCGATGAACGATGATAAATTGTACACGAAGTAAGGGTTTTGTAATAAAATTGAAACTTGATTCAAATTATTGACATAGATTAGTAAGTAAAATTCTATTGATATTCAGAACTTTATTGCTATCAATAGGATATCAAAGTAAAAAGTCTAAATATGAGTGCGAATGTGTGAGAGTGTGAGTGTGGTTGTCAGTGAAGAGAAGACGACCATCTAAACATCCACACCCAAATCCTCACAAGGTATGAAATATATCGAAAAAACAATAATTGAACTATGCCATATTATCAGTCAATTCGCTATCATAATACGACAACAAGAGAAATCTCTTGGTAAGTAAATAATTGAAAAATATGACAAGATTGCTTTATGAGATTTTCAAAAGTTTTTATTTTAGTCAGAATTGAAGATAAATTAGATGCTAAAAAGCGTCGTGACACGCATCTTCATACTTGCAAATACATTCGCATCCTAGAATTTGAGGATGTGGGTGTCCTTGTGCATGTGCAGATGATGAAGAAAACTAAAACACCCACCACCCTACAAATTCAGCAACAAAATTATTTTCTCGCTGACATAGGCCACGTTATTTGTCATACGACTTCAGTATCTTTCGTGATAACGTGTGATATAAATACATATCTATGTATTTGTGTTCTGTGCTTGTGTAATTACATCACATGAAGCAATGTCTGAGTCACTATGACGTTTATCTTTTTCTTCATTTGAAATAGATACTACGGATAAAACGTAAATAAATGAAGTCATAAAATCATATTTATTCGCACCGTTGTATAGACACATGTCACATTCACTTCAATAGCGTTAGTATTTACATAAAAAAGATAATGTCTGAGAGACATGGTAGTTCATATACAGTTACAATATAGTTTTTGGAAACTTCGAAGAAAAGAATGTGGGTGTGAATTATCTAGTAATCAACAGCCACACCCATCCACATCCACGACCACACCCGATACCCACGCTCTAGTCGCAAAAATTATTTTTAAAATGTTTGATAGTTTAATATAATATGTTCAACTTTTAATCCAAACATAAAAATTACCATCATCTGGAGTAAATATAAAATCAGAAGCATCAATTTCATATATACATTGTTGAAACCAAGTTATTGCAGTACTATATGATTTATCACGCCAAGTAGGATAATATATGTGTAAACTGCGTAATTGTTGCATATTTCGGAAAACCGGTAGAGTTGTTTTAGGAAA